GACGCACCCATATATATCAGATGCGTGTTTTGACAATTTGTCTACAAAATAGTTTACATAAGACACACCCATGTATAAGACGCACCCATATATAAAGACGCACTCATATATAAGACACACCCTGGATGCAGGGTACGTAAAACTTTGCATAAGACACGTCTTATATACGCAAAAAGGGGCCGTCCATAAAGTACGTCACGCTATTTTTTTACCATTTTTAACCACCCCCTCCCCCCTGTTACAAACTGCCACAAATCTCGGGACCCCCCCCCCAAGTACGTCACACTTTCGAACATTTTTTTTTTAAATTAACACCTAATTAAAATTTAAAGACACGTTTTATATACGCAAAAAGGGGCCGTCCATAAAGTACGTCACGCTATTTTTTTACCCTTTTTAACCCCCCCCCCCCCCCTGTTACAAACTGCCACAAATCTCGGGACCCCCCCCCCCCAAGTACGTCACACTTTCGAACATTTTTTTTTTAAATTAACACCTAATTAAAATTTAATATAAAACATACTTCACTATTAAACTGTATTAAAATATAAAATTTCCACTTAAAACGAACTATCACATTATTAAAATGACTTATACATTAGTAGAATAGTTAATTGTCAACAGTTGTCACACTTATTAGTTGAAGCAGTAATTCAATCTAGATTGAATTTGAAAACAAAAAATTGCAAAAATTAGACTAGACAATTATATAATACACATCATTTATCTGCTGCTTTTCATTTACAAAAGGTGAGGTCAAGTTTTAGATAATTTCCGATTATGCAATCTTTTTACACAGGATAAGAAGTAAATTAGCGAAACTGGACCTCACCCAGTGGTTAAATAATAAAAAGGAAACAAAACAATTTGTCTAAAAAAAGACTAGATTGACAAATTTTGTGACAAACTCTTGTGCTATATTGAATCTGTTTATTATGGGCCTGTGAATTATGTTTCATTCAAAAATATTCACTGAACATCATCCATCCATGGTGAAGTGAAGTTTTCATCCATAGTTATGACCGATGTTCCCTTTAAGCTGCGCGCCTGCGCGTCCACGCAGCTATCTCACAGACGCCGCGCAGCAGTTTTGAGGATCCGCGCAGCTATCTCACAGACGCCGCGCAGCAGTTTTGAGGATCCGCGCAGCTATCTCACAGACGCCGCGCAGCAGTTTTGAGGATCCGCGCAGCTATCTCACAGACGCCGCGCAGCAGTTTTGAGGATCCGCGCAGCAAATTTACATTTAAGTGTGTGTTTATGGGTTGTCAAATTTTGCACACACAAAAAAAATGATGCTGCAAAAACTTTTCACGCAACTGTATGATTTTGCACACGAACCAGCAAACTTAGAGGGAACATTGGTTACGACTGGCATTAATCTATTACCATCATCGTTTCCTGGAGGGATAATTGCAGACAGATCAACTTCATCCTCATCTAGCCGCTGAACATCCTCTGAATGTGAATTTTCTCTCCTGCCAATAACTGCCACGAGTTCTCTTTGCCTTCTAGCAGCGATTCTCAAAGGACTGATGCATTTTATCTGAGTTGATTCTGGAACAGTTTGGGTTGGCACATTCTCCCGAGCCTGTGCTCTGTGTTGTCATGCACGTTTCTTCGACATTGTTTGTGAGGCAAAGTATAAGTGACATACTTTGCAAATTCGATCCAGTAGCAAAGATTGACTATAAAGATCATATAGTTGTACTTTGAAAACTTCTGTTGATCTCGGCAAGGTTATACATAAAACAAGGCTTCGCTACAGCATACTAGCGCTCCTAGCGAGAGGAGTCGTGAACAACACATTCAGGAGATACGCATTTCATGCTATTTTGACATGAAACTAATTCAAATGTTTCATAATTTTTTTTTTAATTATTTTTAAAGCTATTAAATTCTACTAAAAAATAAATTAGAAAGAAAATTTAAAAAAAAATAAATGTGTGACGTCACACATGGCCTGACATCCCCGTCACAAACTGTACACTTTCTTACACCCCCCTCCCCCCCTCCCCACTGGAGCGTGTCATACTTTATGGACGGCCCCAAAGACGGTAATGGTTGCTTTTTAAATCAACAGACATACATGTAGGCCTAAATGTGATCAGATCAAAAATTTGTTATAAGGTAGGTGAATCAAATAAGTGTGTGATTAGTGCAAACAACCGTAGATACGTGCACCTAATTGCGCTTCATGGGTCAGCTGAAGTAATATATATATATATATATATATATATATATATATATATATATATATATATATATATATATACACATACCCATACATATATAGTGTATATATACTAGATATAGCCCGCCAAACATTGGCTTCAGCAATGTGTGAACTTCACATCTAATAAAAGTTACTTACTTGACAAAACATGACCTTAAGTAACGCACATGTAAGAATCCCAAATTTTGCTACGGCTCTTCCTCCATGATACGTCACTGCACACTTTTTATTTCACGCCCATGAACTTAATTAAATATTCTGATGTCCCAGCCACTTTTAAACCGAATATTGCACTATTTTTTTTTAAATAATCATTTAGCGTAGTTATCGGGAATTATATTTTGCGCGCTATGGAACTTATTATTGAACTATACTTTCTTTCAAACATTTAGAATTATTTGTGATATACACTGAATACTGAATTCTTCTTCTTCTTTATTTTGAGGTCCCACGATCAATGAATTGATCATTCTGGCTCCTATGTTCCAGAGGGGTTCGCGATGTTACTGTGCATGTGTTTCAAGGGGATCCTTCACTGGTTGCAAGGGCTACTCAGCAGTGATGTTACGAACTGGGGGTTGGAAAACAGGAGGCAGTAGACACGAATGTGTCGAGTGTAGCCGCCTCAACTGTTGCTTTTGGAAGCTTGTTCCAAGTCCCCTATTGTCTTCGGCAGGAATGAGGAGCTCCTGTACTTTGTTCTTGTTTTTACCAGCCGGAACTGTCTGTTGTGGCCTCGTCACTGTCTAAGGGGAAGATGAACGAGTTTCTGTTTGATTCCGGAGCAGTAGACCAGCCCATTTTTGATCTTGTACACAACATGGTGAGCCTGGATAGTCGTCGTCGTTCTTCCAATGTTGACCAGCCCAGTGTTTCTAGCATGCTGCCAACATGATTAAAAAGTAGTCTATTATGAAGCAGTCCAGTCCACGAGTCACACCAGAAGCGTAATGACTCACAGACTGATTATATACCCCCCCCCCCCAAAAAAAAAAAAAAAAAAAAAAAAAAAAAAAAAAAAAAAAAAAAAAAAAAAAGCCATGTAAAGTTACAATTTTTGCACTGTGCGTTGTCTCATATTCTAACGGTGCATGAAGGTGGGCTTTTAACAGAAATTACGCTTTGAAGTGGCCTAAAATAATCTAAGTAAGTTCACAGCTTTATCAGTATCCATGGTTTGTTTCAGGGAACCTGTTTTCATGTCACGTTATAATTGCTTTGCGCAGCTTTTGAACATGCGCTTTGTTATTTCTGCGAACGATGCGCATCCAACAAGAATATTTATTTAAAAAAATGGTAAAATTACAAATGTGGGCATATTGATTGTCCTGGTGTGAAAGAGATGAGAGACATTTATTTTGAAGCACCAAGGGTGACAACTTTTAAGAGTGAGGCAGCTTGAGACAACTAAACTGGCTTATGTTTCCTGCGTTATGCATATTCATATAATATATAAAAGCATTTTTGATACTTGACTACCAAAATAATTTTTATATTTATTTCCGGAACATGTAAAAGTTATTGTTCTTTGATAACATGTTAACATTACTGTTTAAACATTCTTTAGCTATTTTAGATTTGAAAGGTGCTGGTGCTGACCACATGAAACATTAACAAGGCACACACGTTGATTAAATCATTCTCAATTGAGACCAGTTTAAAGGATGAATAAGGTGTAGCATTCAAGTCAGTGGCATACGTCACAACATAATACTGTCGCGGATACTAGAAAGATAGAACGTTCTAAAAAAAATCCCCAAGAACCGACCAGGAGTGGGGTGTTGTCACTATGGAAAAAAAATAACTAAGCACTCTTAGACATACTAGAAATGGCATCAAGGGCAGTTGCCAAATATTTTTATTATAGCCTATATTTTTTTATTCACTATAAATAATCATGTTGGCGTGCGTCACGCAACGAGGAGCTCGTGGGCCGTTGACGGGCCGCTGATGTTTGGCGGGCTGTGTGGGGGGGTGTTCTATCGAGTGGTTTTAGGAACACAACATTAGAGTACCCAATTCCTATAAATAACATACATTACGTGAGCGTTTCTTTTATTCTTTTGTATGCATGCTTGAGCTGCTCAACTTCATTTCCTAAATGACGGAAGTAATGTTGGCAAACAGATTGCTTTCTCACCTCCATGATGTCAGTATGGAAGCTAATGGGTCATACTTATTCCGGGCGCAATCATTCTGCGTCTTTTGGACACTGAGGTCAGGGGGCAAGTTGTAAGCCAGGTCGTGGATAAATAGTAGCAAGACGGCTTTCACTCAGTTCAGATGATAACAATTACGAAAGTGCAGAGTGTTTGCCAAAAAAAGATACATCCTGGTAGTGTATTGTTCGACTTCTTAATCAACGAACTTCCCACAGCATAAATGAGTTGTGGTCAATAATTCAGGGATTTCAATTTCAGTACTGACTGAAACACTGAACAGAAATTTCTAAGAAGTCTGTTGATAGATCTCCAATAAAATCTTACCATCCGCTTTTCAATCATTCATTGGTCTTTCAAACATTCATCGGTCTTGTAATCATTCATCGGTCTTTCAATCCTACCATCGGTCTTTCAATCCTACCATCGGTCCTTCAATCATTCATTGCTCTTTCAATTAGTCATTGGCCTTTCAATCCTACCATAGGTCTTTCAATCATTCATCGGTGTCTGTCCAGTGGACAATTGACATTTTATTTTGACTACACAAGATCTAAGTTTAAAGTTTTATTTATAGTATCAAGAAACAAAAAACAAAAACAATTGACACAGATATATTTTAATCTGGAAGACCAATTTAATTATTATGAATATCTATTTAAAAGTTATTCCATAGTTCCATAAGCAAGTTGTTGAAAGCCAAAGTTGTTGAAAGCCAAAGTTGTTGAAAGCCAAAGTTGTTGAAAGCCAACTGTATTTTGTTTCAATGAGATTGCTATAGATCTATGTTTATTTTAGTGCCATTATATCACAATTGGTTTTCAACAATGACATTCTTTAAACCTGAAAACAATCTTGATTGAAACAACTCTAATTGAACATCTATCAGTCACACTGTTATGTTTCTTGAGATTTTTTATGACACTCAGATAAAAGCAACATTTTTCTGATCTTATCTCTTAATAATAAAATCTGGTTATAAGCATATAATGTAATTAAATTACAAAAGATCCATTAATACATTTGAATTTATTAGGAAAAGTAATATAATGTCTAAAATGGCTGAATTTAATGAACCAAAAATATTTAAAAGAATATGCAACACAATGACAAAAAGTGCTAAAAAATTTTTATAAACAACACACAAAAGCATCAACAGTTATATCAAGTTAAAAAACTCTTTTAACTAATATTTTTTGCCGGTGCTGTCCAACCTTCATGACCACCTGGGCCAATGAACAATTTCCGGGAACCCAAGGGCTGCAAATGACATCTCAAAAGAAAATTGTTCGTATTATTGATACTTCTTACCTTATGCATAATGAGTAATATATATCCGATAGCATTATTGGCTCATCAAGAATATAAATAAAGCGATTAAAGACTGTAGCCCATTTTAATATATATTTAGATTTGAATTGTACTTGCAATTTTCTTAATTTGAGGTAGTTATCAGTAGCATCTGCCCTCATTAGATTTTCTAAATGTTCAACAGTCAAAACAGGGCATTCAGTTGTTTTTGGTACTGTTGTTGTTCGTAACAGAGACTCCAGCTTCACTGATGTAAGGTGCTTCCAAAAAACATGGTCCACATTTTGTTACCACATTTTCACAGTTGGGGAACTTCATCAGAAGAAGCATGATGGCATCCAGAATTTATTTGGCCACACATTCTTTTGTTTGCTTATAAATAAAATACTTTCAAGAATCGTTCCTAATGTCTCTCACAATTCCTCCCTGACTGAATTGCACTGACTACAAACACAGCTTGTATACTACTTTCTACTCATTGAATGTCTCATACTCTGATCTATGAATACTGAGAACTTGTCCCCAAGGCAACAAGGTATTGACATGTTGGAGACACACTCTCCCATTCTATTGTGACAGGTTTAGTACCCCAGCTCCAATCTCGATTACTTTGACCCTAAGACTTTCCTGGCAGTGGTTAACTCCCTATGCTCACCCATCTATTTCATGCAAGCTAGTCCTGTTGGTCATGATGGGGAAATTTTTATGATCAAATAGCTACACATCAAGTTACTTTTGGTTTCTCTATTTATCTTTTTCAATGCCACTGCTAGTAATTTTACCTTCTCTTCTTCCTTATTTTGAAGGCCCACGATCAATGAATTGATCATTCTGGCTCCTATGTTTCAGAGGGGTTTGTAATGTTACTGCGCATGGTTTCATGATACCCCACGACACCCCACTGTATAAGTGCAAGTCACAGAAAGATAGTATTTCACCTTTGTGACCTCCCCATTTTCCATGTTACAACTTTGCATGTGCTCTCATGCCATTTCCCAACAAAACTGAATCAACAAATGTGGTACGAATATATTTTCATCCTAAAATGTTTTGATTTTTTTTTTTACATACATTATTAGAGTTTCTCAAGCTGTGGTGGGCCATTCAGCCCACGGATTGGACAGCACTGCTTTATGCTATTGCACAATTGATATCAAATCTTCGGATAATACAAATAGAGATATTTCAATATTGTTTTAAAAAATACATTTGGATTCTACATACTTATCCTAATGCCATTTTGGGTTTCCTTTAAATATGCAGTATAGTATAATATAATGATACGATAAATTAAAGAATCTGGATTATTTCCAAATGGAACAATTCAGGAAATAAAATGAGACAAATGTTAAATTGACTTTGCAGACAATGTGGAATTGGCATGTGGTCATAAAGTAAATATATTTTTTTTTAAATTTGAAACAAATCAAATTTATTTACCTGAGTTTATAAAAGACATTAAAATACATTTATTATTTATAGTTAGTTCCATAAAAATTGCAAGGACTATTATATTTTTACATTTCTCATCTTAATGTAAGAAACTGTATTATTGAGTTACAAAAAAAACTTTGAGATGGAAAGTTAATTAATGTTTTATAAAGTAAATGAAGGATGTGTTGCTTTTGTTTTTTTAAGATGCTTTCTTTGTGCAATGTGTACTGAACAAAATCAGAGCTGAAAATAATCATAACAAAGAAATGGTGGTATCACTTCTGAAAAAGAATCTGCTCTATTATAAACCATAGAACTAATGTCATTAAATATAGAAAATCCTGTGATCAACACTAAATTCACTTTATTTCTGTATTCAACAGAAATTACATTAGAAGTATAGTATAAAACTTGGATAATACTAGGGCATAAGACGTTCATAGACCCATCCATTGGTACCTGCGTTTGTAACAAGAGGGTCAAACTGTTCCCCTTGTTCAAGCTTACGGAAAACAATTCTGTCGTGAAGGCGATTGGTCTGCCCTTGCCAGAATTCAAACTTATTAGGTACCACCCGATAGCCCCCCCTGAAATGACAATGTCAGATTAAACATTTTAAAACTATTAATAAAATTGCATATCATTACTTTGGTAAAAACAAAAACAATTTAAACATTAAATCATATAAGTTATAATTTTTCAAAAGATAAACAAATGTTTTTGTTTTTTTTTAAGTAACAGACACTCCCATAAAATTCAGACCAAATAGTTCAAGCAAACTAACATGACATGCCCCAATTTGGCCATGTAATATTGCATATAACAATACAATGCATTTAAAATATTATTTTCCTTAAAACAAGTTTTCTTACTTCTGGTTTAAAACAATAACAGCAAATCATAAACATTATTATGATATTACCCAACAAGATAACAACTTACCAATAATCTGGTTTAGGTACTGGAATATTTGAATCACTGTATTTCTGTTGAAGCTCCTCATTCCTCTCATCTATTGCCTAGAAGGTACCAGCAATAAATTGTGTGTCATTAACAGTGGGACACAAGGCTAAACCACAATCTTTGAACTATTAAACTGGCCACTGTCTGCAGTAAATGAACCCCTAAAAAGACAGGACATTGCTGACAAAGCTCACCATTGCGGACCAGGGGAACTGATCCCTAAACACATCCTGCCTTCATCTGAGGCTCATCTACCCCCAAAGGAGTGTCCACTAAATGCTGAAAACAAACTGCAAAGTACTTCAGACTTTTTGGTGACACCAGTCTTCAGTTGCATCGCGGCAAGGAAATATATAAACCCAAAGAAGATGAACTAGGACCACAAGAGTCAAATTCCAGACACCATTAGAATTGTTCAAATAATTTATTTCTGTTAAAAGAATCTTTATGTCAATTCAATTGTGAATATAAAATGCACTTCAAGAATTGGTTTTCTTAGCCTCAATGCACTTAATCTGCCCTGACCAACTTTTTCAGTCTTCTTCTTTTTTTTTCTTTTTTTTTTTTTTTTTTGATGGCTATTATTTGTAGTATGACCAGTTTTTTTACTTTATCTTCCAACAATTTTTTTTGTAAATGCACTTAATCTGCCCTGACCAACTTTTTCAGTCTTCTTCTTTTTTTTTCTTTTTTTTTTTTTTCTTTGATGGCTATTATTTGTAGTATGACCAGTTTTTTTACTTCATCTTCCAACAATATTTTTTGTCGGGAATAATATGACCTAAAATTTACAGAGGCATTCTAAACCAAATGGCTGATTAATTTTTGCATGTACCAATGACCTGAGGACTGTTTCTAAGTCTAAGATCCCGCCCATTGTCCCCTCACTGGTTTTACCTACTCTATTTATGACTCAAAAATAAATAGTTAAGTTTTATTTTTAAAACTCTAACCTACCTTTCTACTAGAAATGAGTTGGCTTTGCTGACTGACACAGGCCCCAATCTGACTGTCTCGAGGACGGGAATGGAAATAGCAATCAGATTCTTCATTAGACACTAGCTCAACTGATCCCTCAATACGAACCTATGGAATGAGAATTAAAAGTAATTTTTTTTTTTTTTTTTTTTTTTATTTTTTTTTTTTAATAATGGTTGATGCAAATGTTTTTTTTTTTGTTTTTTTTTAATTTTTTTTTTAAGAATAGGCTTTTACACAGTCCAATGATAAGTTGTTTTAATTGTAGACTATCATTTATTTATTAGTGGAAATAAAATTGTGTTTGGCTTTAAGGTTCCCTTTTTATTAATATTTATATACGGTACATAAATCTAATTATAAACGAAATGTATGTCATCACAAAAATACCTCCCATGAAGAAGAAAATAAACTGATTTCTAAAGTTATGGCATGTGTGTAGGCCTAATTTTGCCCCCCCCCCCAACCACCCTTCATCTCCCCTTTGTTTTGTTTTGATATTGACACCACTCCTTTTACCCACCCCTCCTTTGACTGCGAAAAGGTTGTTAATGCTCCAATGCGTTCTATTTGTTCTAAAGAATGTTATCACGTGACACAATTTCTAGAATATCTTTTCTTGAGGGTTCTGATGTAATCCATATATATAGGCTAGCAGCTTTCATAGCCAAGAGAGTTGTTGCTATATTTCCTAGACATATACAAGACATAAAAAACTACAAGATTTACACTTTATGTGTGAGTGTAAATTTAATATTTGTATCTTTCAAGGATTGCACCTTTTCACTTACTGAGCTGTAAGTGGTTACCGGAAATTTGTTTGAAAGAAATTTTGTCAAATCTATTTTTCAGTTCCCACGTTAAAGAGATTAATCAAATTTCTTTTTGAACACACTATACTATAGGGTAAAACAAAATAATGCATTCAAAAAGAAATTTGACGCAAAATTTTAATGTGTGAACTGAAAAAAAGATTAGACAACATTTCCGTTCGATCAAATTTCCGTCAATCAATTTTCCGTTGACTAAATTTCTTTCAAACAAATTTCCAGATACGGCTGTAACTTGATAAAGTTTTTTTTCCTGTTTATTTGATTTTGTATTTTTTATAACATAAAGTTCATAGTATAGATAAAATGAATGTTGTTAATATCACTAGCTTTGGTATCGTTTTACTTTGCATACTGTTTTCCTCAGTTCCCTGTTATGTATTGCTCATTTAATAAGCCAAATATTAAAAAAGATTTTTTTTTTTTAAAACATATAACAGAATATAATCCTAAAGTTTGTCTTTCTGAGTGTTGGAAAATTATATTTGTTAAAATAAAAAGCGAACACTGGATTAATATAACTGAATTTGAGTTCTTTACTGCTATTAATAAGTTATTTTTTTTAATTTTATAATAATACAGGGGCTGTGGGCAAGAAATGGTCTTTTTTTTTCTTTTCAATGAAAAAAATAATTAGTGAGATACAAGTAACCCTTGCTTGCAGTTTTCAAAATAATCTGCAATCTTAAACATTATTGATTTCAAATTGACCAATACTTAAACATACCTGTCTCATCAATGGTTCCCAGTAAAACATTAAGCTACAAAATGGATTCTCTGTCTGGTTTACATAAAGAAAAATTGAACAAGCCAGATGAACATGGTATAAGATATAGTTAAAATTGTTGAATAATAATGAAATGTACATTGCACATCATATAGGCAGGCAGAACTTGGGAAATAATTTATTGGTTTCATACATATTTGTTTTCAGTTATAGAAGACTCCCAACTTTCAGTTTATAATTGAAGCGTGTTTGCTTATGTATTGAAACCACAGAAGCTAATAACATATTTATCTCTTTTGCTATTAGACTATTTGATTTATGATTTGGGAGGTGGGGAGGGGGGGGGGTGTGTCTTATTCAAAGCCAATAAAAGTGGAAGAAATATAATCTTCTTGCTGAGTGAAATCACATCTCTTGTTGGGTTTATTATTGGAATAAATTGTTCTGACTTTTTATATACATGATTGGAAAGTTAACATAGCCCATCAGAGCCAAGGCTGGCCTAATAAGTTGTGCATTGACTTTTCAAAAGTAGAAAAACCATAACTAGCTATATAGTCAAGTTAATTTTTACATATTATTTTTCAACATAGACTCCTAAAAAAATATTAAATACAAATTTCAACAAAAAACTGTAATCAGTTATCAGAAATTGTTCCCTGTGAATGACTTTTCAAACATTTTGATTAGCTTAAGTGATGGTCTTTCCCTCTTTAACCTCTGGCAAGTTACCTGCCGACTTTTAGTGGATGCACCAGCATTTGATGACCAATAGAAAAGTAGAGCTGCTAAAGGATTCCCTGCCTGTTTGGTTAGTAATTTAACAAGATCACAAAGCAGTTTGCAGAAAATATAAATTCAGGTAAACTTTATGGTCCTTTGCTCTCTACCAAATATGACAATGTCCATTTTATGCATAAATGGAAACAATAATGATCATTCACTTTTTTTATAAAATTCAATAATAAGAACCTTTACGAAAGCTCTATGATGCAAAGATAGAGTCCCTGGCTCATATATATGTGGTTCATGATTCAATAAGTACAGGTTCACTACCAGAACACTGGGTAATCAAAAAAAATATTTTCAAACTTTTTAAAAGAGAATTTTTTTTTAAAGACGAGTTTAAAGCAAACTAAAAAGTAGAAAACACTTTTCAATTTCTTAAAATGCATTATGTAAAGAAATTCTGTGCAGAAGGGTAGTAAGGCACTCTATGAAACAAAGGATTGGAATATTAAATTTAGATGACATTTAAATATGTTTTATTCATTATTTCATTTTTGAACATATTTTATACCAGGTAGTATGAAAATTTTCATCTGTAAATTATCGTTAAAGAATATATCTATTTTCAACAATGAATGCTTACAAAATTTCTGTTAAAGTCACTTTATCTAGGCTTAAAACTAAAAATTAGAATTTTAAGATTGTGGCGTTTTATACTCCTGGTCATTTGCCATCTGCTGATCTGAGTCTAATTGCAGTAATGACCTTCACCTACTCTTTCCCCATACCACCCCAAAATCCTAGTTAAAACTGATGGTTTAGGAAGTGGAGGGATTGGAGTTGTTTTTTCAAATCAACTTTCATTATTTCTGCATCAATCAACACCCAAACCACACCTCCCTCCCTTGACCAAGGTACCCGGAGCTCTCACTCAACTTACATGCAACCTTACAGGTCAGCAAAGGGGATGTGATTAATCTTGGTGAGAGGGTTGTGTGTGAGAACAAAATTTGATGCTACAAACTGGGCGGAATTGCGAGAAGAAAAAAAGTCTTCAAAAGGAAGCAACAGCCCATCGAGCCCTGGCAGACTGGGTGTGAGGGTGTGCGATTGCAACTGAAGACGATTGCCTAATCTCCTCTGGCCGTACAGTTAACCATACAGCAATTTAATTGGAAAACACTGTGCAATCTTTCTGGCTAAAAGTCTAAACAAAGTGTTTTAATCTGTTTTTAAGGGCCTGATGCCACACTTCCGGACAGCCAGTGGTGCTGAAAATTCAACGCATAAAAAATATTGTCTAATTAATTGAAACTCAAATGACACAGTTATTGCTTCCACTCAAACTATTCATGGGAATTCATGATAGAATATGTGATGTCAGGACATCATTAGCATGAATTCCAAAGATATAGTTGGGTTTTTTTTTTTTTTAATTAGCGTGCATGTCATGACTAACTAAATTTACATTAAATATTCAAGTCGTACCAGTTCTTGGGCTTTTCGACTAAGGAAGTTGGTATAAAAGACAATTCCATTTTCATCAATTCCTTTCATTAACACCATCCTCAGTGAAGGCTTTCCATCACTTATGATATGAAAAATAAGACAAATGCAGTTTATAAAAGAGATAGGTAAAATAAAGGTGACATTAAATTGCAGAGTTTTAGGATGATTTATAACCGGACTGTTCATCACTGGGTAGTTTGAAAGAACATTTTGTAACCAAAATAACTATACTTACAAATTTAATAAAGAGAGGCAGACCACAGAATATTTTGATATAAAATAACAGACTCTTTTAGAGTTAAAAATTCTTTTAATATGTAATTTGTACCTTGCCCTTAATTGAACCCTTTATCTTATCAATAAATTGAAAAAAAATTCAATCAGGCCCATGTGAAACGACTGCTTTTGGCTATAATAGGTTGCTCTATGAATTGTCACAGATACAAGTGTACTATCACAGATACAAGTTTCTTACTTTGTGGCGGTGGCCAGTGACATTGCATTAGCCTCCATGATACCATCTGTTTGTTTTGCCTCCTCAAACCAAGCCTTAAACTGGCCATATGGTTCTTGTGATACTAAGTCTTTAATATCAAATATATCTTGCTTGCCTTTGTAAGGTTTTCTCATACCTTTATGAAATGAAAGGGAAAAAAATGTATAAAAAAATTACTTACTATAACAAAATAAATTAAATAGGAATTTGAGAGAAAAAATAAAATTTTTTAACCTGGAGCAATTCTCAACACCCCCTCCTCAAGCCACTAAAATTTGTAGTGAAGCCGATGGTGGCACCAGAAAACTCTGTAATTGTTATTTTCTTATGAGTTTTGTTAACTTGATTCAATTCTATGCAATAAAATGTACATTTATATATGTCTTAAAACTAATTGCCTCCAAAAGTACAACTTTCAAATTCCAGCACATGTTTATTGAGCCACTCTACTTTAAATTGTGCCTGAAGAATTTTGTATTTTCTGCTAGTGTTCATTATTCAGTAAATGCAGTCCTCACAATGCTCTAAATATTTATTAGTCACATAATTTGTTCTAACTCAGTGCTGACCATTGTAAAAACCCCATCTTTACAAAGGTAGTTACGGTCAAATAGTGTTAATACCTTTTATTTTTAACTTTTAGATTTTTTTGGAAATTTTTTTTTTAAAAACCACAAATCATTCAAAACTTATCTGGTAATGTATCCATGAGTTTGTCACTAAGATCAAAATTTGTATAGAATTATAATTTTGTCACGCTTAAACCTATCTCTTCCCATTAACTGTAAATATGCAGCTAATATAACAATATCAAATTAGCCTTTTATAAAGAGTTAGACTCAGATTTTCATTTGAAATGTGCAGAGAAATCCAGTGCTTGAAAGTGTGTAAAAATGTAAGTGATTCATTTGACTAATGAATTTGTCAGCCTCTGATTTGAAAACAACTAATTTCCTTCATCACTGTTGGTTATATTTGATACTGTGTGCAATTTTAACTTTGTTCAAACTATTTCTTAGGGTTTACAAGGTTGCTAATGGAATAGCTATTAAAGTAAGCCAGTTAATTTGATTTGTAGATCTGTTTCACTTCTAAGGGACCAATTCACAATAGAAGCATCAACTCCAACAATCACATTTAATGCATGCTACAATGCATAACTTTATGCATAAATTCGGAAAACAGAAGTAATCTTAGTTTGAATGTATCATCAAACTTAAAATAAAATGAAATTTCAGATTGTATTCCCTTTGCTTTGTTTCAGGAAACTTTAACAGCATTATTTGTAAGCAAAAATGTCACAGGATATTAAATATTAGAGTTAGAACCAGGAAGACAAACTTGCAGATGTTGCTCAATAACTTGCAAAGTAATAACAAAATATAGATGCACCCTGTACAAATTATATTCTGCAATACTGTGTTATTGTCGACATAATTATGTATGATTCCCTTGTAAACTGACACTGGGCAAACAAAATATCCTTGCATTTACTACGGCCCATCCATAAATGACATCACATATCAAAGGGGGAAGGTAAGTCATGAATTTCTAAACTGGTCTCAATTATCATTTTATCTTTTTCTTTTAAAGGTATATTTAACCACCGCAAGTAAACTACATTGATTTTTATCCTGCATTTTATTATACATTTCTTCCGAACCTAAAGGAAACTCAAGAACAAGTCATTATTCTATTTTGCAAATTATTTTCAGCTCTACCATGAGGTCTCAAACAATTTACAACTAAGTTTCAGTTGATAAGCATTTGCATTAAATCAACCCATGGGTGAGGCAGCATGGTGTGGAATGATATAACTGTTTGTGATACAAGGCAACAAACATATCTCGAGATGAATTTGGGGGTGGGGGGATAGTGTGCATGTGCACATCCCTTTTATCAGTACTCTCCACTTCTAATGTTTTAAGCTTTAAGGGATGGGGTGGGGAGAATGGCATTGTCAAGCCTCTTTCCTGTTGGCCTTTATTCCTGCAGACACAGTATAAGTTTGAGCATATTATTATTATATATTATATGCACCCTAATTATAATGAATGACAGGTATAAAATCTCAGTTAAACTGTGAGGATAGTTATCTTTGGTATTATCTGTTGTAATTTTGGGACCATAATTTTTGCTTTTACCAAAAGATAACTAAAATAAAAATGTACATCAGTATTTCAAAAAGAGTTGCCAAATTTTAACCATTTATACCGGTACCTGCTAAATTGAACTGCTGCTCTGAGGTCTGCATAGGCCTAATTTCTAACTTCTTTGAATCACTATGGCCTTTCATTGAGTATCCAGCCACCTGTTGGCTTAATCTTAATCCATGTGATTTTGAGAGCAATCTCAAAAAAGATAACGGGGTGAAAAACACTTTTAGCTTTCTTCCAGCCATTCTTTTCATTCAATTTAATGTTTCTAATGGCTTTCACTATTTGCAGTATCTTTCACCGTTTCAAATTTGAAAAAAGTAAACACAACTAGCTTAATCTACAACACTGAAACATAATATTTAAAAAACCTGGAATTAAGTTGAAGTTGGTAGGCTTGATGACACTTTAAATTTTTTAAAATAGGCCTATAATTTTCAAATTGATATTACAGGTCCTATTGCCTAATATTATTATTTTATGAAGCCTAACCCAATAATTTAATTTAAGCATGATTGATTGCAATTAAACTTTAACAAATATAACTATTTCCACCCAAAACCAATAGGTCTATTATTTATATTAGCCCCAAAATATGTAATATAATATAGCCTAAGCCTATATATATGTAGGCTATAGCAAGGGACCTCATACTTTTTTTTTACTTCTGGGGTGCTGCTCTAGCTCTTGATTGTGTATGTGCATGTGCTGCTCTGGTGTCTTGATTGTGTACCGGTATGTGCATAATTTTTCAGCTTATGTAATGTAATAGTTTTAATTTTGGTTGGTTTTAATATGTTTTCTTTGGAATAGGTAACTGTGACTATTTGACTGACCAGTAATGTTATGATGTGTATTGAATGAACTTAGTGACCCACAGTGCTCTGATTGTCCTGTGATGTTTTCAAAGTGACTGACTGGACTTTGTGAGTTGTTTTTATGAATGTCTATGCTTAAATGTGAGATTGGATAACTGGAGTGGGTGGTAATGTGATTTGGAGTATAAAAAGAATGTAAGATGGGGTTTACAGTTATTTGTTACATAGATCACACCTTTGAGTGTTCATATAATGTTATACTACATAAGCGTGTGTCATTTGCATCATCATCAATACCATGTCGCCAATGAAAGTGCTGTAGCAATGGCCAAGCAGCAGATAATACACTGGCAACCATAGTTGCAAACCTGCACATAGGCGGCTCAGGCCATAGAGTCTTTCATCATGGCAAAGGAGCAGCAGTGGTGTCAGGCAGCCCCCTGAGTGACTGAGCAGCCCTCTTTAGGAACACACTGCACACCTTCATGGATTGAGGAAGGGGCTAGACACTGTGCCCAAAACATTGTATGTTCCATCCTTCCCTATCCAGCCCACCATAGTTGGAGACTCTATGCATGCGGTAAAAAAAAATTTAATTCAAAGAAAAAAAAAGAAAAATATAAAAACCAATTACTCTAAAAATATGTGCTTGAAATAAGAGCACTACCCAAGACAAAGACAATGCGAAAAGACCTCAATGGGGAAAAGCCCTTATACGAAATGAACTAGCCAGGTAAAAGGTGGCACTTAAAGCAACCTAACTTGCAAGTACAAAGTAAACTGTGCAAAAGGGACTCTGGATATACCTTCTTTTGGACTGCCGGGGGATCAAGAAGCCAGTTTTCGAAAACATAATATGAGCCCAACATTCAAGATAATGGTGATAGTTAAAGTAACAAACAACTTCACCAACCTTGGCTGCATGGCAGCACACTTTCCCAATGCGCAACCATCCATGACAAGGTTAACATTGGTACAGCAAAAGCTAGTGCAACATATCGCAAAATGTCTAAGAATGTATGCACTCAAACTAAAATAAAGCGGCTGTGCTCTCTACGCTCTTTAGGCCTGGGAAATGTTGACCGGTCTATCAATGCCATGCAAGAAAGCTGAACCACTTTCAAATACGACAAGCCTAAAAAAAGGCTCAACATCAAATGACAGGACAGGATACTAGACACTGAGATACTCCCACAAGCTGATCTCCCCAGTTTATTTATCATTTTAATGCACTCCCAACAAAATGGGCGGGACATGTCGTGAAAATGTCAGATGACCACTTCCCCGAAAAGAATGTTTTATGGCAAGCTTGAGCCTACGAAGGTGTTTTGCTAGTGGCCAGAAGAAACACTTTAAAGACAACCTAAAAGCATCAATGAAAACATTCTATATAAACCTGGACACATGAGAGAATTGGGCAGAGTGTCGAGCATCATGGCCATCATGGCGTTTCTCTTTACACAAAGTCACAAAGGCTTCAAACATGATGAAGCCAACAGAACAGCAGCTGCAGAGCAAAATCAGACAAGCCAGAAAATCCCAGGTTAACTCTACACATGGAGACATCCCGCCATCAATCCCTTGCACCTACTCAGCCTAAGCCTACTGCACAAGATTCTAAGACAAGAACATTTCTTGCCAGAATGAGAATGGGTCTAATCAGCCATCTGCGCAGGCACAGGCAGAATTCGAATCAGCAGGAATTAGATGAATTAAAAATAATGGTCATTTTTTAAACAAGATTTTTTTAATTAATTAAATCACAACTATGTATATTTTAGTCTATTTATATTATATTATAGTATTAGTAGGCTTAGTTAGTGTAATGCCTTACTAAATACTAAATATGACTAAAAATGCAAAAATCCTAACAGTAATAAGCTACTAATTCATTTTAATATGTAAGTCTTCCATCCAGAAAACAATGCATAATTTTAAGTGTGCCTATATTCATTACATAAACAATGTTGAATGTACATTAAAACGTGTAGTTGTATAATTATTACTATTATTATTATATAAGGCAGCAGAAATTAAATAAGCAAGTAGGCCACTAGTAGGACAGCCTGAAGAAACTGAGTACAGACAATTATAAATACAATGAATCAACGTTATTTTAATAATTTTTAAGAAAATCCACCTGCAACTTCAAGATTGGCCATAGTTTAGCAAATAAAAAGTCTCTCAATTTATCAACAACAGAACGGTAAATTTCGCAAGTAATCAAAATGAAAAAAAAAGAGGTCACGTAACGAACTACGAACCGGATGTTTTTATTTTAGGCCGATTTATTCTACAGCGCATGCACGTTTATAGTCCCACCCACTTCCCCACGTGGAAACTAACACTCTGAAAGACCCTCGACTTGTGTCTTTTAAGAAGTTGTAGACTCAAATAAACGTAATTATATAATGGCAAACGAATTGTTGAATGTACGCTTAATATTTCATTGCTAAACAACGTATTTAAAACATTTTTGGTGATTGCGCTAAAAGCAAACAAATCTGGAGTTAAACCAATGTTTACATTTGGCGGGTCAGCCATCATTCTCCCAATGACTTCCCATTCCCCAAACTTGGGGTGAAGAAAGAACTCAGATTAGTTATTATTTAATATTTTTTATTATTTAAAGCCATATAAAGGTTTTTCACATGTTGCTTTGTAATGCAGACTATTTGTTTCTTAAATAGTAGTTGTTGTAAATTGTATAATCCTCCTGCATGAATCGTGATCCCTTTGACCATCTTGTTTTGGCGGGAATGAATAGACCATTGATAGGACGTCGACCTTATGGATGGTTGGGCGTGGGTATCGTCTGGTTAGACATTTTTTTCATGTTCAATTTTATTTAAACTATTGAGAGATACCACAATAACGAGAGTTATTTATAACACGTTATGGAAATCTTCAAAGAGGTAAGGGAAACTAAATGAATAATAGGCTATAGTTATAGGCAGGAATAATGTCTTGACTCATACTTGACTTAAGACGATAATAACAATAATAAGTATAAGACTTAAGTTATGATTATGAGACTTTAGTTTATTTAGACAATTAATTAAGGCTTGCAACTGCCAACAGCCCATCCAATATATAATTGTATTTGTATCATGTTGAATTATTTATGCCCCATTTTAGCCTACTGGCTTTGGTTTTTACGGGATTATCATCTATATAATAGTTAGCATCTATTTATTTACTAGCCACTTCTACAAGGCCTATGCCTATGCTTATACTTAACTATACTATTATAGAATATACTGTACTGTACTATTTATGAATACTACTATAGAATATATTCTATTATATTCTATAGTATAGTTAGCCTTTGAATAATAGCCAGGCCCAGTATTCAGCATATAGAATATAGTATAATATATAGAAATAGTATAGTACTGTATGTATATTATATTTAACAGATTCACTCCATTAATATGCATTTCCCATTTAAATAAACTATGTTCCCTATTTTGTACAATATTTACACCTGCCCCCAAAGTTGTCAGTCACACTTTTTGGAATTAATTTTTCAACTTTATTTATCAACTAATCAAAATTTTAACTAAAACACTTAACTATTAATTAGCTTTGTTTAATTTATAGAATTTTAACTTCAAATAAATTATTAATAAAAATTATAAGTATAAATGACTTTAGTTGACTAGTTGAGTATTTGTCACAGTTGTTACTAATTGAAGGTAGGCCTTACTCAATCTAGATTGAATTTGAAAACAAAAACTACAAAAATTGAACTAATAATAATAAAGTTTATTTTAAAATCACGCTTCATCCCCAAAGGCAGGCTCGAAGCATGGTACAAAGTCAACCATATTATTAAAAGAGAAATGAAAAACAATCTATATTTTACCAAATTGAAGTACAAAACGCACCAATACAAAAATTACATACGAACATTACCCATTCAAAGTCTTGAATCCCTTGCAACCATAAACAACAAAAGCCAATATACATCTAGGAGACAATACTCAATAGCTAGCTGGAAAAGATGGTAGACAACATCACCCTAGCAGGTGCTTGCGAAATAGATGTGTTTTCAAATCGATTTTGAAGGTCTCCAGTGTCTGGCTGTTTCTGAGAGCGACAGTAAGGGCATTCCAAATTGTTGGGCCAGCAAATGCAAAGTGCGCCTTCCGTAAGTCTCAAGCTGAACACGCTGTATTGAGAGTTTGCCACTATCGGATGAGTGGAGTTGTCTAGAGAGTACATGAGGCGCCATGAGCGCTTTGAGATAGGGCGGCGCCAAGTCATGCAAGCATCGGTGGCATAGAGTTGCAATTTTGTACTCTATGCGAGTGCGGACCGGCAGCAAATGCAGTTCTCTCAGAAGTGTTTTAGCATGGTCCAGTTTGGGAAGAACAATGAGAGCCACATTAGTCTGTGCTTTTTTAATTTTATCCAGGAGCGTAGGTAGAAGACTCACCATGAAAGCATTGCAGTACCGTAGTCCATACATGATAGCACCAATGCAGACATCAGCCTCTTTGATGCATCAAACGTTAAGAAAGGTCTGATATGACTAACGAAGTGGCTATTCGTACCCGGGTATCAGAAGTGAGAGGTTGGGATTAAAAAAAAACTATTTAAAAATTTATTGCTGAGTTTGTAAGATAAAATGGGGTAACAAATCAAAGATAATTGAATGAACTAAATGTTTGTAAACTTAATTCTTCAGTTTAACTAAAATAAACTACCACAAATGACATCCAAATAGCACTGAGTCAAAATGGACCCAGTCACGCAGCGCCGCCAATCGCACCCGGGTACCAAACAAAACAAGCCAACTAAAACTAGAACTGTAGTCATCAAAGAGTGGCATTTGACAAGTTCTTGTCTATTGAATGTTGATGACTTCCGGCTGACATGTATTTATTTTTTTTGGTGGGGCTGATTTTTTTTTAAAAATCATTTATTAATGAATTAGTTTTTAAACTCTCTGTGTATTAAGTTAGCACATACAAATTGTCAGATGTAGAATGCTATCCACTAAAAAGACCTAAATTAACTAATTATGATGATCCTTTAGGCATATCTCATCACATTGCTTTTGGAAAGTCTTAGGGAACAAACACTTTGAGCAAAAACAAATTGGAAATAATAAAAGTTTGTAAGGAAATTAGTCATACAGAAACTTAAAGCATACTTGAGTCCCATTGTTTTCTACCATCTTGGTGAAAAATATGGCCCCATGAAAGTGTTGTGGTACATATATCCATTTTGTTTCCTATAATTTTGGACATAAAATGGAGAGCACTTGAAATAGTTTGGTTCAAAGACAGGTTTAATGATTGTAAAAGATAATTTGTATTTATTACATTTTAAATATTTTTCCAGCCTCTAGGAGATGACATCAGCCGTTATGAAGAGCTGCGCCAAAGGAATCTTGAAGACAATAAAGTGGTGGTAATTATTGTATTAAAAAAAAAAAATTAAAAGTACATGGTAGCATTATTTGATTATCATCAGGCTGAAATGTTGGGTTTGGCAGTGACCTTTCAATACCGGTACCTTGTTTTGAACAGATTAAATCAAATAAAAAGCTAACGTCATGGTTTATTTTCACAAAATGGCATTTGAATTACAAACATAAGCAAAAGCTTTAGGATAATTATATTAAGTACTGACATAATTTCATTTATTTGTTTTACAGCTGGCCAAGTTGATGTCAGGTGTTTCTGAACATCTTTCTGTTAAACCCATTATTCCTCAAAAGGTAAGACTTAACATGTTTTGTTTTTAGGCTATCACTTAATGATTTAATGATTTTTTTCCCTATATTTTCCTTGTTATTAAAAAGAAATTCATATATTCAATCAAAATATTGATCATGAAAAAGCTTAAAGCACATTGGTATGTTCAAGTGACCATTTGTCAGAGTAGAATCTTAAAACATCACAAGGGTCATTGACTGCAAAATAGTATCAAAAGTTGGAATATGTACGTACTTATCTTTACTGTTGTAAACCTTTTGCTGATCTTGCCTCTATGCATGTAGCCAACCGCCTATAAATTTACTGACAGGTAAAGATTTGACCTACAATGACTTGTCCTTAAGAACTTACTTGCTGTAAATTATGAGGTATTGTGCAGCATTTTTAAACTAAACGGAGAATCTCAGCATTTGGGGATTTCTTCTCGGTTGCTTTAAACTTAATTGATCATGAGAAGGAGAAATCAAAACTGGTGAGAATGCCATTCATAAAACTAACGTTTTAAATTAGGTCTCATCTTCTTATGCCATTTTGTCCTTTTCAAAATCAAAACCAGGACATTTAAATATTTTCAAATTTAAAACCAGGTCAATTAAAATCCTCTTGGGTGTCCAAAAATAAACTATTCTTTTTCATTACAGTGAGAGCTCTTCTGTCAGCAAGCCATTCTTTTTTTATTTATTGTAATACAAAATTTTTATTAATTATATTTCTTTTAGCTATGTCATTTATTTATGTCATGATAAATTTACTCTTAACTTTTGATAAATTAAAAATTTTGTTGACTTAAACTACTGGTTTTAGCTCAAGACAAACCAGGACAAAGGTCCAAAATCCAGTATTGATCTGGTGAAAACTGTAAAAATGGTCACATTACATCAGAGGTTTTCAAATATTTTTGAGTCAAGGTGCTTGCTCCATCCATATTTTTAAGACGCCCTGTGTCAAAATCTACCAAGTGCACTGAAAAATAGCTAATATTGTAGCGTAAAATTTTACGCTCAATTTTAGTAAAAGCCAATTCATTGTGAGGAAGCCGCAGTGTACATTTTGGAACATTTGATTAACGTGATTGTCATTGCACCTTTATAAAGATCTATACAATATTACCTGGCATAATATTTTGGTCCCTTTGTTTGGCTTAAGACCAACTTGGAGTTTTATCTTAATAGGACATACACAAGCAGAATTGCTTCTGATTTGGCTAACTCTTTATGCCTTGTTCATCCAGTGAGGGCTAAATAATATTTTCGCAGAAAAGAAGGTCCTCCAAACTTACTGTCGAAGATGGGGTTATACGTCGCAATCCTTCTAGGACAGCACGATTTGCTTCATCACGTTTTGACATACCTCGTAGAAGATCACGAAGTGGTTCTGTATCCTCATCATCATCTACTTCTACTCCATTGTCAACACCAGAGGTATGTCTTTGAACTCTGTGATAGCAGATCTTTAAATGCTTGAACTAGTGAATTTTAGTATTATTATTTTAAAATACTATGTTGCTACCAGTATCCTTTTTTTTTTTTTTTTTTTTTTTTTTTTTTTTTTTTTCTTTTTTTTTTTTTTTTTTTTTTTTTTTTTTTTTTTTTTTTTTCAAACTTCCTAACTTAATTAAGAAAATGTATTTTTCCATTTCGCTTTTCAAAAATAAAAACTAGAAACTTGTTGTGAAATTTGGGTTCTTCCGCAAAATGTCAGAAACATCATCCTTAGGACCAAATGCAGAAGATGAAGAAGATGTAAGTACTTTTACACCAACATATTTTACACCTATTTTTAAATATGTTAAATTCAAGTTGCTTGAATACATTAAATTTACAGACTAATTTACTGTATGAAAGGGAGGATCGATACCCATTTTGAAATAATTTTGTTTATAATTTTAATTAAAATTATGGATTAGAATGAATCAACTATTTGAGCATGCCCACTGTAGATTAATACAATAATAATCAGTTTGTCCTCTGTTAGGATGATGGTATGTATGAACCAGGTGAAGACTTCCCTCTACCGCAGCAGACTCGGAAATCACGAACAAGGCATGAAGTCATTCGACCAGAAGATATCACCCAAGCTGACCTTGACATGGTGTCGGTTGTTGTGTCTGACAAACGTTATGATAGTATTTTGGTATGTAGCAATGCAGATTTTTTTCTCATACTTAGACTAGTGAACAATAAGTTATCATATGCTGTAAAAATAACAATAAAAAGTCGTAAATAATTTTTAAATCAATATTTATCTGCTCAATTTACAGGGAACCTCATGTCACCAGTGTCGCCAGAAAACAAATGATATGAAAACTATATGTAGGTCACCTGACTGTGTTGGTATCAGAGGCCAGGTAATTTGTGAATAGTTACAAATGGTTCACTGATGTGAGTTACAAATCATTGAATGAAAGTTTATTGTAAAACTTAAACATATCCCGAACTAAAACTTTCATTAAGTCATATTTACACAAACTATTTAGGCAACTTATAAATAATTTTGTTTGGATTTAAAAATGTACAAGCTTTTTGTATATCCACTTCAGTTAAAATTGTTCTTAAATTTCAGTTTTGTGGTCCATGTCTCAGAAACAGATATGGTGAGGATGCAAAGGTTGCATTAAAGGATTCAGTAAGTTTCTTGCCTCAAAATATTTTTCATGTTTTCTGGGAACATTATTTTACCGGTATTTAAAATTAAGATGAAAGCTACTTTGATTCTTGGGATGGTAAAAGTCATATAGTGGAACCATTTCTGTCAATTTACTAACCCATGGCTCTACTGTAGAAACCTTTTTTTTTCTTAAATGACGTTCTGTGTGTTGAATGTTACATTCATCTTCCTTATCACTGGTACAGTTGTCCAGACCTGTTTACTCTTACGATTTTGGCGTACATATATATATTATATATGCTGTATATTTATTTTTTACTATTAAGATAGTGCATTGAACGATTTTGTGATATTGTACGATTTTTAGAGTTTGAGTGTAAACAGGTCTGGTTGTCTAACTTCACTACAACATAGCCACACTTGATCCAGACTTAAAGTGGAACAATGTTCAATGACAAAAGTACAACAGTTCTTTGTTTACAGCAACTGACAGTTCACAAAACTTCCTCTATAAAACTGCTCTTAACAGACTCCTTAATCCAAGACGACTCTGATCCCACTGACTAACGAGGGGTTGCACCTTCTCTCACTACGATAACTCAACATACTGCTAAAAACTGAACAACACTAACTGACCTTGCATAACCCAACCAGTCACGACTTGCCCTCACAAAGCCTCTCACTGTCTCACAATCAACCACTTTCATACACAAACGATCACGCTAAACAATCCATTTCTGTCACATTTACCAAAAACGCATGGCACTACCTACTTGAACAGCTCCGTTGAATCTAATGTACAACTTCAAGCATAAAGAGAGGCTGAAATAAAAAGGGAAAAATATTCAGCCTACATGTTTTAAGGACATGTCTACATTCTATTTAACTTCTCTTACTCTTATTTTAAAAATTCAAAGTTCTTTAAATATTTTTTCTTACACAATTTAAAAATAGTATTATACATAATTTTTTATATTAAAAGGATCATTTTTTTTCCCCAACCACCCAGGATTGGATATGTCCACCATGCAGAGGCATTTGCAATTGCAGTTTTTGTCGTAAAAAGAAAGGCAGAGCTTCTACTGGAATCCTTATTCATGTTGCAAGGGAGAATGGATATAGTGATGTTAATTCTTACCTCAACGGGTGTGCACATTAATGAATTTGCCTATCTTTTAGATTATTTAAAATGGCAAAGAAATTGGCATAAAATATTTTATGTTTTATTTAGTATTAAGCATTTTTTTCATTTGCCCATTCCTGTAGTTTCCATTTTAATCACACCAATATTTTTTTTCTAGGTTACAATAGTTTTCTAATCTTTCCTAGGCGCATCAGTATTTATTATTTCTGTTTAAGATTTTCATGTTAATGGACTCTAGAAGCAATAATTATTATTACCTTGAGTTAAATATGTGTTTAAATAATTGTAATATAACTTAAAATTTATTACGTTTTATTTATTTATTTTTTTCCTTTTAACTATTGAATTTCAGGTTGAAGAAAGAAAGTTAACACCAACCCAAAGCACTAGAGAGTTTATGTATTTACAGTATTCTGGGTTGGCAACAATTGTTTGCTATGCTGAGAGTGATTTTGCTTTTGCATTGTTTATTATGTAAAATATTTGTATTTTTAGAAATGCTGTTCTATTTCATTCTTCCATTTCATCTTAACATTATCTATCTACATTTAAAGATTATACACCTCACTGTCTGGTTTTAAGATGTATAGTTCATCTCCAAAATGTGTTGTTATACATAGCAAGTGTTGAATTAAACTTTTATTTTTATGCCAAGTAAATATATCTGCTCTGTGATTTTATTAATGCACACATAAGGCTCTCTTTGAGTTAGGATTTTAAATCTATTATTTAATGAGATTAGCCTCTCTATATAGTCCATATTGATGAGTTTCCTTCAGCCGGATCTGAAAATACCAAGGTTGTAGCTTTCTTGGTGAAAATCAGTCTCCAACCTTTCATTATCAATATGAGGTTTTCCCATATCTTGTTTTCGATTTAAATTGTGTGTTTAGCCAGTATTCATTTTTTATTACCTCAGTTAAAAAGCCTCTGGCTATGTTTTTGTGATGAAAAGATAAAATAATATATCCAACTTGAGCTGAACATTTATTAACTAATAAAATGACTTGCATATTGGCAGGTCTTTAACTCCTAAAGATGCAGGAGTAGCTTTTACTAGATATAAAATAGCTGGTTATTTCTTTGTGCTTAACTTGGTACAGTATCTAAAAATTATTAAATGGTTCAGCCTAAGCTTTTATTGAGTATCAACAAATGTGTATGTTTGATAGCTGATTTATGAGCCATTTTTAATTGACAAATTGGGCTGGGTACTACTTTAAGTGTAATACTGTTATTTATTAGAACCAGAAGCAAGCCATCACAATAAATTTTTTTTTTAATTTCTAAAAAATACAGAAACAGGTGGATTACATGACCTAGATTCTGCCAATATAAAGTAATAAAGCCTTGTAAATATTAAGAACAATATACCCAAAGGTGACAGCTCAAATAAGACAATAAAATTGTGTTGTCCGAGTTCCTTCCTCTACAAACAAAAATAAAGAACACGACTATCATCCTTATATTACCAGAGAAAAATAACTTACGGTACGTTCATATTCATACTGTGGATCTGTTACAACCACAAATCTTTGTTAATCAGTTTGATAACTCCATGTTGAGCATCCACTGCTATTTGATGATGGTAACAATCATGGACATATGTGCTAACTCAGTAAAAAAATGTGGCTCTTTAAATGAATTAATAAATGCGCTTTTTTCCCATTTAAATTTGCACTATAAAACTGGAATAAATAATCATGTAATCCTGATGTAACTGTTAAACATTGTCATATGGGGTTGTCCAAATGTGGGGAGGGGGGTAAATGATCGTGTCTACTTCCACATGCTAGTATTTTTGTAATATATTGCTTTAGGCGCACTGCAGCATGTTTAAAATTTTTCAATTGCAGATGGCCGATATATTTGCGAAGAACCGGTAGTTGTAAACTTCATGAGAGAGACATTGATACTGGGTTGCTGTTTAATTTATTAACAAATGTAAAATACGGGTAATGAGAGTTTAGGCTTTTAAAAATTTTTCTCAGGTCTGGTTGACAAATCCAATTATTTTTTCATTTTGCACTGAAAAATCCTGTATGCCAGGGGTCTCAGGCTCAAAGCACCTGGCGGCTGCAGCAGATAGAGTCTGATTGAGACTGGGCCGCATCAAGTGTTCCCCAAAAAAATCGATTATAAATTTATTAAAGTAGGACCGTTACAGTCTGCTCAACCTTTATAAATAAAAAAAATAAAAACATTCATTGAGGGCTCTCAAGAACTAGGCTTCACTTTCATCTTCCTACTCTTCTTACACATCTAGGCAACTTTGGCTTGAGTGAGGAAGCAACTGAGACTCTCAGTATAGCTTGAAGACGCTCCTCAGCAAGTTTGGCCTTGAATTTTGGCTTTTTAAAGTTCATAGTGGAAAGGAGCATTTTACACAGATAGGTACTCCCAAAAGGGGTTACCGAACATTTGAAAGAAATTTCGTTGATGGAAATTTGGTTGAACTTATTTTCCAGTTAACGTTAAAATTTTCGTCAAATTTCTTTTTGAACGCACTATACCAGTGGTGGGAAAATTTTTTGTGCTGAGGACCAATCTGACAAATATGTCTAATTTTTACATGTGGATAAACATTTCTCTATATTAAAATCAGTAAATTCGCATTTTAGCCTTGCATGACAAAAGTTAAGGACTCTTTAAAAATTAGAACGAAATTTGATCAAAAATGTTTTAAAAATCATAATGGTAAATGAAATTCTGTAAAATTCAACAAAATAACTTAAAAACAAAGTAATTTTTTTTTTATTTCTAAATGACAAAATTCATTGGAGGGCCACATAATATCAGTTGCCGGGCCCACGGGCCGTAGTTTGCCCACCCCTGCATTATACTATATATTAATCGGAAATAACGCGTTCAAAAAGAATTTTGACGAAAAATTGATCGTGTGATCTGTAGAAAAATTTGATCAAGCTTCTTCCGTCTATCAATTTTCCATCGAAATTTCTTTCAAACAAATTTCCTAATATGCCTAAAAAGTCATATGATCCGCTTGAACAACCTGGAAATCTCAGTGAAGGTTGATGGCAATTATCTCATAAAATGTCCATGCTTGTCTTTTTTTTCCATTCACCTCCTGAACTTAAAATTGCACTGAAGATCAATCGGCTCCATTTGAATCGAGAAAGAAAAAAAAGAGGGGGGGGGGCATCTTCCACATTAAAAGAGAAAGGCTCAGCAAAAAGCTGAAAATTGGCTGTGTTATGTGATCAAATTCTTCCTGTAGCTTTGCAATGGCATCAGTATCCTTACTACTAAGTTACTACTACTACTACTGAATGGTGTCCATGAGTACTGGTATTTTGCCTGTTGGGAAATGGCAGAGGAGGTTTCTCTAAGAACCATAACAAAAGTTTTGTGCAGAATGCCCTGACATTGTCATAGGCAACACTAACAAGCTAGCCCTTGTCTTGTAACTTCTCGTTGAGTACATTCAACTCCTGTGTAATGTCAACAAGTAAAGTCCGTGAGCCATTTGGGATCACTTAGTACAGGAACCCCCACCCTTCTCCATTAAGACTAAATGCTAAAACACGTTCAAACAGTAGGCAGAAGCAGGCCATATTTATGAATTATTAATGAAAATGCTATTGTAGGGAGAGTGAATTTTGATTTTTTATCGTAGAAAAGGCCTTTTTGACTAACCCTGTTTTGAAAGTGACCAAGCTGACAAGCTCGGAACTTTCCTCACTCGTAAACACTAGCGGCAATGTTAATAGGGATTCTTTGATACTGTATCTGATTGCTACGATTTACACAATTGGGGTTGTGCATTACCCACCCACTGACTTTTTAAAACTTTTCTCAAACCGCACATTGGCCCTATTTGTCTCATAGGTAATAAGGGGAGAGACTGCAATCAGGTTAGTACAAAATAAAATGAGTAAAACAGAGTAGGGTTAAACCTGAAAAAATAAACGCAACAAAACAGCGAACGTGTCAGCAGAAAGCCTTCGTCAGCGAACAAAACAACAGAAAAAACGGTATAAAAATAAAAAATAGCACTTAGCTGGTAAGTAGTATCTGTGGGCAGCAATAGAAGTGTGACACTTCTATTGCTGCCCACAGATACTACTTACCAGCTAAGTGCTATTTCTTATTTTTATACCGTTTTTTCTGTTGTTTTGTTCGCTGACGAAGGCTTTCTGACACGTTCGCTGTTTTGTTGCGTTTATTTTTTCAGGTTTAACCCTACTCTGTTTTACTCATTTTATTTTGTTTGTCTCATAAAATGCTATAAAATAAAAACTTTTAGTCCAATTTAAAACGGTTCTTACCATTATAATCGACATACATATATATACAAACATAATAAAAATCAGACTTAGACTAGTCGGTGAGATTCAACTGAAACCGTTGCGGAGTATCACATTATAAATATGAGAATGGGGAAAACGCGCGGGTGGCATTAACACTAAACTTTGCTGTCATTTAGCGGGCCTCAAAATATCGCCTTGCAGGCCGCGAATTTGAGACCCCTGCTGTATTCAGACATCCATGACTGATGTATGGGGAATGGTCCATATTTTCTATGGATGTCTATGAACCACTCTTACAAATAAAGAAATCGACCACCGTTAATATTGAAGAGGGCTTCAAATATATTACTTGTTGTCATATGATTGTTTGTCACTCTTATTATAATATAGTAATAAGTTCTGAAGAAATGTGTCACTCTTATTATAATATAGTAATAAGTTCTGAAGAGTGACAATCATTATGACAACAAGTATATGTCAAGCCCTCTTCAATAGTAAAGGTGGTTGATTTCTTTATTTGTAAGAGTGGTTCATAGAGGGATGAGTCTTTTTTTAAAAATCGAAACAGTGACACATTACAGGTTACCCCAAACTTAAGATTAAAATGATGTAATTTTTCACATTAACCTCTGCATTTCCTCCATGAGAAGATGTATCTTGTTTCAAAGAAAGATTAAGATTGTGGCTACTCTTTTTAGAGGCTTAGGCTTTTACTATATAACATGGTACAATTATCAGTGGTAATAATTTTGGTGATTCCATTAAGCCCACTCTATTGTTACATTTTATTTTAGTAATGAAAAGCAACCAAGCACAGTGTTGATAGCCAAGACAATTTATTTATATCACCTGTTGATAGAATAAAAATACAACATTGGTTGGGACAAAGATCACAGTATCATCAGTACATTGGTATTATAATGTAGCACTGGAAACTGTCTAATTAAACAATGTTACTTCCTAGATAAACACATACCTGTACATTAGTTAAAATATTAACATCAAATGTTTCACTTTCACACTGAGTAGTTCTCATTTCAATTGCAGGGGTAAAAAAAAAGAATATAGAAATTTCCTTATACAATATTAACATAAGATATATTTCTGGTTCATTATGAGTGATAGTTCAAAAAGTTTCAATGCTTGCTTGACATTTATCAGTCCCAAAGTTACTGTAAGCTAATCTTTTGAAATTGATTTTAAATTGGGCTTGGAATTTTTCTACAAGAAAGGATATTGCACAATTATTTGCACTGCAAAAATAAAATACTTCATTAAAAATTCTTCTCATAATGTGAAAATGTAAACAAATTTTATACTCGTATCAATAGTCAATTCCAAATGAGAGCCAGGGTGTAAAGAGTAAAGATTTTCTGTGTTATTTATCTAAATTAAGATATCTAGGGATTATTATTACACAGCACTTTAACAAACTCACCAGGGTAACAATACTTGTATAATATAATTGATATCTAATGGACAAAATAGGAACATGTCATCCAATTCACATTTTTTGTAATTTAATAATACTTAATAGGATCATATTTCTGCTATGCTAGTCTCATGACTAATTGAAGCTTAATCTTATAACTCTTCCAATATTTTTTATTTTTAACAATTTTATTCATTAATACAATTTCATCACAGCATAACATTTTCTACATCCTTTTCACTCACTGGGGATGTGTTAAAATGTAGTAGGATTACTGACCTTTATACTATAAAGCAAGCAAAAATAGTCTCTAATCAACGTCACATCCACAAAGAAACTAGTTACAATAATTTGAATACCAGGTACTGGATTCACTCCATTACTAACAAAAAGAAACAATATTTTTCTTAGATTAAATCCCAATAAGCATTTTGGGAATTAACTTTTACAATTTATGTTTCTTAAATTATAAATTTGATTGACATCCATGGCAATGAAGTTTACTTCCTTCATTATATTTTGAATTGTGGTTCGTTTAGGAAGTTAAACCAATACAGGCATACCCGCAATTGTCATATAAGGGAATAACAGATGTAAATGATGTGTTTATAACAACTGAACTGGACACATAAATTAAGATACCTGTTACCTTGAATTTAAATTGATTTTTTTTTGCAAGAGCTGATGCATTTGAGATATGGATGAATTAAATTTTCAGTTAATCACTTATCCAGTCAAAGAAATGTGTAACTTATAACTTTGCTAGTCACAAAATAAATGCACATTAACATTAGGTAAACAATCTTAAATCCCTCTGATGTAAGCAGGGGTAATTGGGTATACCTGCATAGAAATTTTTTTTTCTTTATGAGGTTCTATATTATTATTGTTGAAATTTAACTTTATAACACAACTGGTGAAGTTTTTTTTTGTTTTCATGTTTAAAAAAAATTCAAACCCAAAATTACATCAATCTGAAAGAATACACCTGTTGTGTGAATGAATTCAGATCTCTGGAGATAAATCTAAACGATTATATCATCAAATTATAGTGTTTTCTTCTCATCATCTTAAACAGATCTAAATTCCCAGGACTAGAAGTAGAAGTTACATTTAGCCAGCTACAACAACAATTTTTTTTTAAAATGATATAAAAGAAGTGCTGGACAAAAGTATGAACAAAATGTATACAATGCTTCTCAATAGGAGGTATAAAAGTGTACTGACAAATAATTGCAATTTTCAGTACATGCCTTCATTGGTCAAATACTGTTAGTAGTATTTATAAAAGGACATGACGTCTTTGTATCTTAACGGTATAACAAACAATCCATGCTTTGATTAGTTTGCCAAAAAAAATGGCTTAAAAATTATTTAAAACAGGGGTCCTAGAAATTATTAAATTGTCAGTAGACTTTAACAATATTAGTATGAAAAGAACACTAAAAAATGGGGCACTGAAACAAGCTAAGTAACATAAAATGGTGGCGTTAAAAAATATTTTATAGGGGTGAATTTGCTTCTAGGATTCATCCACAAGAAAAATCTCAACAGGGAAATTCCAACTCAGAGCTTATAAAATAAAATGAGTGGATCCACAATTTTGGCTAGTAATGCATTAATATACTGCACATTAGAAACTAACCTTTAACACATGGTTAAATAAGTTTACCTCTTAATTTCCTTCCAATATTGGAGTCAATAAAACTGACTTAATGAAGTAACAAAATAGATCAATCACAAAAATTTGGACAAAGAGTTTTATAGCTGATAATGCTAATGAATAGCTTCCTTCACTTAGAAAATGTTTCACAAATTTTTACAAAAATGGTAACTTATATTGGCCTTCCTAAGTAGATGGTATCTTCACTAGTTTCTTCCATGATTGTTATTGCAAAAAAGCCCAACTTTGCGTAGAAATCAATCATAAATTTATCACCAACATTCAGTTCACAATGAACCCCCTTTGATCCAGAGCTTTTGAGTGCAGATAAAACACAAGCCAGAAGTCGACGTGGCAAAGCAGGGTCTTCTACACGACTTGGGAGAATGTCTAAACGAAGACTTGATGGATACATTGAGTATATTTCTTCAGGCACATTTCGTTGTTCATTGTGAAAACCCTGGATTACTTCCTAGAATTTATTTTAAAAGAAAACTTTAACAATATCTGGTACCTAACCAGTTTAATTAAATTCATACATTAATTAGAAAAACAAGTTTAAAATTAATCTTTTTAATTACTTCATTTTGCCTAAGGACTAAAAAATATACACTAATATAAATCAAATATATTTAATCCATAAAACATATTGTAACTGACTAAGTTGAGACAAAGTTTTTTAAGGCTTGTTATTTTATACCAGTCTAATTGATTACACCAAGATCTGTTCTTTCTCTCCCTGAGAAATTATAGTAAAGATCAGCTAATTCTAAATATTGTGCAATATGTGAATCTTAATATAATAGTTATAACTCACTAAATCAGAAATTTTTTATAAATTATTATCTTTATAATACTAAGTAAGATTGGGGCTCATACACAGAGAAAACACTTGTAAAACTGAAAAGATGTTAAAAAGGAATGGACTTATGGAGAAATTAAATACTCACATCAGCAGGAGAATATGGAGAAATTAAATACTCACATCAGCAGGAGAACAACCATCTTTCTTTTCTGTTAAGGGATACTTTTCACGCAAACTAGGTAACCAAGCCATTTTACATTTCTTAGCAGAATCCTGAGCATCTATGGCAGAAACTACATAGCCACAAACTCCAACATCATCTTCAACGACAAATCCGAAGTCTGGACTAAGTGTCAAAAATTTGCCTATAAGCCTGAGGAGGATGGTTTTCTTTAGTTAAGAGGCAAATCAATGAAATAATTTCTTGAGCTTAGAGTAAAAAAATTAAAGCATTTCAAATAGAAGTTTAAAATAACTTCTAATTACATAAATTAGCCTGCTGCCATGTCCAGCCTTTCTGTATACAATAATTATATCATCTTCATTAATGGTGTAGTGTATAGAAAATGGAGGGTGCTGCCTGCTCCATGAAACCATTTAATTCAGACCCTCAGCTAATATAAATGTCTCTATATCATCAATCTATCTAGTTCTACCTGTGAACTGTCTGCCCTTGCTTTCTGATTGTAAACAACTTTTGCTCCCATATATAATCTGGAATCCTATGTCCACAGCACCCTGCATTTTTAAATTTCCGTGAATATGGTTGGTTCTTTGAACAACTGGTATATACATTAATTTGTCAAAATATTCCTCTCTCAAGTTTTAGAATTACTTGTAAGGGAACATGCATAAAGGCAAAGAACATCTGCAAAGATGGGGAGAAGGGTTTGTTCAAAAACGGACAAAGAAGGTGGGGGTGTAAAGGATCTTGCTGACATAAAAAAAAAATATTTAAAAAAAAAAAGAGTATTTTTTTTTTGTATATGCTGTTTTAGGCACAGTGTGGCTATTCCAGTTTTTTAATATTTTTAAATTGCAGACGTCCTCCATGGCTGATCTATTTGTGAAAACATTATAATATTAAACCAAGAGGTTAGTTAAAAAAAACTAAGAAAGTCTTGGGGTCAGAGTAATCGAGATAGGATCTGGGATACTAAAGGCTTCACAATTGAATGACTGGTGGGAAGTGTAAACCATTTATGGTACCATATTACTTTAACAGGTAGTTTAACCACATATGTGGAGTGTATCTCCTCCCTGTATTGTTGTGATGTTCGGAACAAGTACCTGGTATCCAGAGATCAAAGTATGAGACGTTCAATAAGTAGAAAGCAGGATACAAGCTGTGTTTGTTTGTAGTCAGTGCAATTCAGTAAGGGAGGAATTGTGAGAGACATTAGGAACGATTCTTGAAAATATTTTATTTATAAACAAACACAAGAATGTGTGGCCAAATAAATTCTGGATGCCGTTATGTTTCTTCTGATGAAGTTCCCCAACTGTGAAAATGTAACAAAATGTTGACCATGTTTTTGGAAGCACCTTACATCAGTGAAGCAGGATTCTCTGTTATGAACAACAACAGGTCCACAAAAAAAACCTACAGCCCTGATTTGACCAGTGAACATTTAGAAAATCTAATGAGGTCAGATGCTACTGATAACTACCTAAATTAAGAAAATTGCAAGGACAATTCAAACCTAAATATATCATAAAAAGGGCTAGTCTTTAACTGCTTTATTTATATTCTTGATGAGCCAATAATGATATTGGATATATATTACTCTTTATGCAAAAGGTAAGAAGTATTAATATTATGAATAATTTTCTTTTCAGATGTCATTTGCCGCCCTCAGGATCCCGGAAAAAGTTTTTTTGCCCTACGTAGTCAAAAAGGTTGGACAGAACTGCCATAATGTTTTTAAAAAAACTGAGTGACAATTGCATTATTGGTGTACACGAAGCATATAAGTAACAAAGGATGTTGTCGTTTTAGACTACTTTGCTTGGAATTGGCATACAATTTTCAAAAGTTTGTGTTAATACATACTTGTCCCCCATTATTTGTGGATTATCAGGGAAAACATCTGTGCCATCCATGCCATCATCACAAGTCTTCAAACAAATATGATACAAAGCATCCTGAAATAGTAAATTTTATTGTGTAGTAAAACTATTGACCAGTAATATATTTCAATTTTGCTTTTTACATGTTTTTGTTAATTTACTAACAGCACAACTTTAAAAAACTTTTTTAAAAAAACTATTTAAGTGACAATGATGCAAATTTCATTGTGCTTTAACAAATTCAGAATGTAATTTACTAAAAACAAACATTAAAAATGACTGAACAACATAGTAATAAAAAGGCCTAAATAGATATGAAATTTATAAATAATATGGTAACTCATTACAATGGTCATTTAAAGTACCTCATCCACAGCCTTGTAGGGTCTGATGTTGAATGTTTTGGTTATTATGTAGTCTGGTGGCTTGATGTAAAATAAGTCGTGAGCACTATCAATAGGCAATAGCCGCTGTAAAAGTGCATTCAGAAACAAGGTTAAGAAAATATAATATCTCAATATTTTACTAACTGCCTGCTGCTTTCTGAACTGACCTATTTCATAAAGTTTATTTTTATATTAATGCTATTTTTGCCTTAAGTGTTTTACGTCTGAAGAGCCTCTCTGCCAACTACTGAACACGGTACTGCACCAAAATCTCAGGCCTGAAAAAATTGGTAAATTAAGAGTGGAGTGTATTTATTTTCATGCAATGCTTGACCATTTGTTGACCTAGTTGATATTTTGAAATATTGGTTTAAAGTTCTTTCCTTTTAACTTGGTTTACACCAGCTTTATTTTAAAAATTACCCAGTTAAAAAAATTCAACAATTATTTTAATATCTGATTATTTTAAAACACTTTCTGAATCTGTTAGTGTTTCAACCTAATTAATCCCACTCCTTGTGTGAAATGGAATCTGAGGTGAATCAATATATAAAAATGATGTTTTCTAATAATATAAATTGGTATGATTTCACAAATACGGATGATAGCCATATTACTCAAAACAAGGGCAGATCTAGTCTGAGTCTAGGTACCAGAAAGTGATAACTTTAATATTTTAACTGGGTAGCAAGGCTTATTTAAAGCAATATTTAATAACATCATCAACCATGCTTATTCAAATCAAAATATAAGGTAGTCATAAAATGGCCAAATACTGATCAATCTGCAAAAAAAAAAAAAGAGGCCAGGTTATTGAAAAGCCCTAAAACATAATTTGCTTCTGGGACAGACGCACTGAATGTGTCTCAATCGTTACTCATTTGCCCCTCCCAATTAATAAAGTTTAATCTTTACCAAAAAAAAACTCATAGCTTTAAAAAATTCACATTTTAGATACATTTTACAGATCAAAGAGTAACTGGGCAAACACCTTTGAAACAATATAAAATTATAAATGATTAGTGTTTGTAATCCCAGAAGCTAATTTTTTAAAAAAGGAGCCATTGAATGGATGTTCTTTCATTGTTGGCCTTGCTCACTGATTGTGTCTTAAAGCACTGCTCAATATTATATTATTTCAATGGACTATGAATTTGTATAGAGCATAAGTCTACCTCAGCAACTACTTCGATAAGAGGAACAACTGATTATTGTTACTGAGATTTATCCCTAGAGGTTTTTAAAAAGTTATTGTTACACGTCTAGTATCCGATTGCTTTTCAAAAGACACAATAATAAAACAAGGGTAGCTAGATGTTGCCCTCGAAACAGGTAGCAACAAATTTTTTTTACATCAACAAGATAAGTTTCTTTTTGAAAGAACATTCAATGTCAATCCTGTGCCAACCCAAAACCAAAATAGCACATAATTGACTCTGTGACCTAATGTATGAAAGCACACCATTACATATTCACTATTACATTATACTCACATGCAATTGTGAATGCTGTATAAAAAAAGCACAGCTGTGTGATTTCAGGAAGCAAGTAAGCTACCTCAAAGGATTTACCAACTTCAGTACATCATGATCTCATCAGATGGTAGAAAGAAAGAAATAAGAAATAGGGGCTTCTGAGATATTGGTGCAGTTACGGTGAGCAGCAGCTGTAAGAAAGAGAGTCATTAATATTGTCAGAGCCACCATCAGAAACAGCTCTCTCTCTTTGGGATGACAACTATAAAAAATAATATACTACAATGGACATTACATTAAAATAAAATAAAAAGTTAAAAGAGTTTGATCTGATTGAGGATTCATCACTCTACTCTTTACATCAAGGACCCTCCTGTCATACATACTTGTAGTTCTGCCTGAAGACCACCTCTGAAAACCCATGGCTCCTGATCACCACTCATAAATGCCTCCTTATAGCCTTTAGAAAACCCTGCATTTTGCCACACAGAGAGAAGATACAAACAAGTCCTAATTAGCCCTTATTGGACCAGAATAAATCTCAAATAATAACATATGATTTGTTATTATACTACTTAATAAACATTTATATAACATTGATATTTTACAACCACAGAACCATACACAAGAAAAAAAAAATGTAATTACCATGCAAATAATAAAAAACCTAAAATGCTATAAAAAAAAATGGAAAATTGGACCAAAAAATTGGAAAATGGGACCAAAAAAGTAGTGAATTTATTAAACATTAGTATAAACCCAACCCAAAAAGAAGTGAAATTATTTTTTTTTAATTTAGCTGCTACCATGTGGCAGTGACTATTGCCAAATATTTCAAAAGTTTAAAATTTCACAATACAAGATATATGACTCATGAAGTTGTTTTTTTTAATACCGGTATCAATTCAACACATATAAAACAACATATGGATTAAATTAAAGAATTAACATGCTGGTCATATATGTTGTAGCAAGAAAAAGAAACATGAAGCAAGTGCAGCTATCAGATATTTTAAAATTATCATACATTGTTTCAAAGCATTGCCATTTTTAAAAAAAAAAAAAGCTTATTAAATACTTTTATTTTTTATATTTTCTTTTTAAACTACAGTTGATAAATAGTTTATCCCACTACTAATTTTGAATTTTTTTGATAGCTACCATCCTCAACCACAAAGACAAGAAGGGGAAAAGAAGGAACTTGGATCTTATCATAAATGGCAAAGCTTTATTTTAAAATGCAAAAACATTTTTGTTTGATGTACTTCCATTTAATCTGAAGACAGATGATGAAAACTGTCCCAAAATAAAAAATATGCACAAAATAAATCTGTTGTGAAATATGTATCTTAAATTTGTTTTAGAAACATTTGCAAACTGTCTTCAAAGGAAAAGTGAGCAAACAAAAGTGTTTGCTATGTTCAAATAATTTAGGGAATCCATGTTAATTGCCACATAGCATTTGGTTAATAAGTTTCACAGACTATTTCATTCATTCATAAGTTAAAAATTGTGTATTAGAACTATGAATTTGTAATGACCCAAATGCTAAAATCTTGGATATATAGCTTTTGGTGTAACAAAAAAAATCTACACAATTTAAAACGTATGAACAAATGTACTACAATGTTGCAGATCTTGGCTCAGGGAAAATTCATATCAGTTTAAAATGCATGTCACTTGGGTAAAAAAATCATATTACTTTTTGTTTAAAAATACTTACAATTGAGTGGGCAATGAAGCATTTAAATATATAAATAATTCGGAGCTTTGAAAAATACTCACTAAAGTAAAAAAAAAAAATTGTTATTTTATTTATTTGTATATCAATAGGCCAGAAATTTAATGTATAACTTGTGTTAGAAATGCATTAAAACCATTATCAATTTTTCCTGGACAAAATAACTTTGTAGATAGCCATCAACATATTGATCTTCAAGTATACAAAAACAATTTCATTGGAAAAACTTAAAATCTGATTTGACAGCTGCACTTAAAAGGTCATGATTCTTGCAACATATAAGCACTGTTAATATGGAAATAAAAATATAAATGCCTACATGTAACACAGCTAAAAGTCTGTTGAGCCAAAGGATATGTTGCTAGTCCCTTTGCTGTAAAAAAACAAAAGGATTATTTAAATTTGATAAAATATATAATAATATAAGAAACATTATTTGATTTATCCTGATATATTAATTTCTACATCCATATAAACTTTAATTTGATTTGGTAGATGATAGCGGAAAATCATAAAGTGTTCAGGCTAACATTTAATGACTGTTGTCAACCATTTACAACTATAGAAAAAAAAAATTTAACAATTCATCAATGCATAACTGTAAATTAAAAAATACATGAATGAAAAAGTAATACCTAGCCACTGAACATAGGCTCTACAGATCTTGAGTATGCTGACTAGATCCCAAAGATAGGAGTACATGTCACACATAAATGATTTATTTGGTCCTGATGTCAATTTTGAAAGCAGATTTACAGCAACACCAACCTTGCTAGAGAACTCATCAGCTAGGTGATGCCATTCTGTGGACTGCACAAGATATTAATCTAAATTAACTTATAGTTAGGCATGTCAACATCAATTAAATTGCCTATGAAATGTATTTCTATTGTTAAGATTATGCATTAAAAAGAAGGTTTGAGGTCCAGCCTTTGTTCCCCATATTCAAGCTTACATACAAAGAATATTTTTTTAAATCATTGCATCTCCAGCTATTATAACTTCAAAAATTAAATATTTCATCACTTTGTGTCATACTAAAATTTACCATCAAGATGACTAATTTCCTCACTCTCGAGCATGCATTTTTAACTTCAATAACTTCAGAAATTTTGTTGTAGACTATTTATTTTTCCTATAAGATATTGCTTTTTCAGCTTTCTGTCCCTCACCACAAATCAGTAGGCCAGGTTATCCAACAGGAAAGTGTTAGTTACACTTGGCATTTTATTACTTCGAAGGTTGTCAAGCTACAAGACTAAATGATTACCGGTACATGTCATATCTATGCATATCTATATCTAAAACCATTTGACCTTAGCATAGCCAAATAATTTAACTAAGGAATAATAATAATAACTACTTTCAAGCCATATTAAAAATAAAAATAAATAGTGGAACAAGATATGTTTAGGCTAAAAAGGCAAAATGCCTACTGCAGCAGAAAATACAATACAATAAACAACAGATCAATTTAAATAATAAAACATGCTTTTGAAGATCTCAACAAAGCTCAATGTTCAGAACAAGAAGAGCTCTTCGAAAATGAAAGTTCTATTTGTTAATTGCCTGCTGAAGACATCTAGCCGAAACGTCCACTAAAAGACATTTTTTTATTTTCAAGCCTAAACATTTCTTGTTCCACTATTTAATTAAAACTACTTTTTAGTAAAACTATTTCACAAATTCCAAAGAGAAATTTAAAATGTTTGAAATTATATCAGTGACAATGTGCTGATACCAGAATTGGCAAAATTTGGGTGATTACATAAAATTAATCATAGTAGAAAAATAAAGATTTACTATAGCTTACTTATATGGCACAATCCCTCTAATGAAACTCCACAGCTTTGCAATGGTCAAACATCCACATGAATAAACATACACATGTATATTCATACATATATATAAATATATATATATATATATATATATATATACACACACACATATGCAATATACACACATGTGTATTTATCACTTATGTATATGTGTATATATGTATGTGGGTTCTTAATCATCTCAAGCCAAGTGATGCTTGCTATTTTTTTTACCTGGTTGTATTTGTGTGTATATATAATATATTATATTCAGAGTTCCTGTATAGAATTTATTAGCAATAACATGGAGAAAAATAAATGAGTCATGTCAGGCAAAGCAAAATAAGAGATGCTAGGTGTCCTATACCCAACTGGTCCCTACGGGGTCAAGATGATGGACATAACAATATATGCTAGTTAAAATCTGAAAAGTTTCTTACCTCAAAAGTATTAGCTTCTTTGCTGTTTTTCTCTACAATTATATGTGCATTGGTCCTTAGCCAGTGTAGTCTCTGAAGAAAAAACAGACCTTGTGCTCCATGTTCAAATGGCATGTAGAATAAATCACACAGCAATAGAGCATCATCTTCAGAAAAAACGTAATTTCCCCTACCATCAGAAATTGTGTCTTCATTTTTCTCACCCATATCAGATTCAATCTGCATCAAACTGTCTGTTGAGTTCTGTTTTTCAAGGGTTGGTGCAATATTATTTTCATTGTTAGCCATAGTGTTGTTCTGAGAATTTTCTGAATTGTCCAAAGGACAAGTTGTGCCAATTTCCATAGGTTCAGCCCCAGAGTCAGTCCCCAATAGTGCATCAGAGATTGGTCCTGGCTGTGGCAACTCTAATAAGCTACTAACAGGCAGGCTAGGTGGCTGAAGAAATGTAGGAATAGGTAGAGGTGCTTGGGCATTTGTACATATAGTTGCTAGAGCTGTAACACCCGCAGTTGTCATTGTCTGAGTTGTAAATGAGGGTGTCAAACAGGTTTTTATAATGTCAGGCATTGGAAGACCAGCAGGTGGTGACGGTGGCAAGTAATTTTTAGGTGGGGTTGAAGGTGCTTGTAAATCAGATGGATTCATGCATGGCTGGGCAGCAGAAGGAATATCACCCGAAATGTTGACAGAAAATGGTGTGATCCCTGGCGGAATTGTTGGATTACCTGGAGGACATGAAGGGATACCTGGAGGAATGGACGGTGGAGGTGTGGGATTAAGAACTACAGGGGGACCAGGAGGAATATAGGTAGGTACACCTGGAGGTCCTGAAAGTATGGCACCTGGAAGGTATGTTGGTATTACACGGGGGAAAGGTTGGCGGGGTGGTTCACGTCTACAATGAATTTCTGCAAGCCAATCATTCATGGCACTCTTTAGAGCCAATCTAGGCTGATATCTAAGGTCAATATGAATAGGGATGTCATCATCAGAAATATAATCACTTTCTGTTTCAAGCTTGATATCTGATGCTATTGGGCTCATTCGATCACCTGTAATAGAAAAATGTTTTTTATTTATTGCAATAAAAAATATAGATAACTTACCAGCCAGTTATTGCAAAAATATATCACAAAATGATTTCAATATCCAAAAGGAGCTTAAAATATACTTGCCTTTGATTATGTCTTTCTTAACTCCATTAGGATTAGACTGGCACCATTGTCCCAATGTGTGAATTGCCATGAAGTTAGCTTCAAATTCTGTATTTGGATTGGTCATTACACCATTTATGTAAGGAATCACCTCTGGAGATCTGCCATCATATGGACCCAAAAATATCCGTCTAGGATCATAGTCATTAGCATGAATGTTGTCCCAAATAACAGCCGGTCTTTTCAAGGCAGCTGCAATTTCTTCTAGTGAAGCAACAGTGAGTTTTTTACTAACAACCTTGGGACCTAGAAAAGTTTAACTTGTTAGTACAAAGCTAGATTAAACTAGTAACCATTTATTTTAAGACATATATAGTAAAATAATCTTTATTTTATACAAATATTAATTATGGACAAAATTAAATATCAATTATTATCGTTTTAATAGGATGTACAGGGATTAATTAATAGATAACTACTTGTTTTAATATCAAACGTCTTTTCAGCAACAAAGAAAACTCATCTCAAACTAAAATTAAAAGAAAATTTATTTTAAGTATTGTAAACATATAAAAGAATTTTAGATACTTGATACCAGGGAATTGGAGCAGGCATTTTTTGACAATACTAAAAAAAAATTAGGTGTGTGTGTGTGTGTTTTGAGAGCTTTTCCAGCTCCGCTCCAAATCCTTGCTGAATATACTTTATTAACAACTTCAATAAAATAAATATCTAGTTATAGTTTTCATTATAATACAAATTTCATGATGCCAAAAATTATTACCTGTCCACATAATGTCAATGCCAGGAAGTAGTTTTGAACCAATCGTATTGAGATACTCTGATGAAGCCACACTTGGAACTGCCCTAGAAGCACAATACTCTGCAATTTTATAGACACTTTGCTTATTCATTATTTACTTTTTTGGATCTAAATAAAAATAAACAATGTATTAAAAATGCTGAGAAAGTATTTTGCAACTATAAATAAAATAAAACGTGAAACTGGTGCATCTTTTTCAATGTAATGAATATAAATTAGAGAATATATTTAAAAGAAAGAAAAAAGTAAAAAATACCTGTTGGACAGAATAAAAAAAGTTTTGGCTGGAGAAGATGCTCAAAAACTTCATTGGAGACTGAAACTTGTGCTAACCCAAAGGACTGAAAGGCACTGCGATCAGCTTCTGACAGCTCTGGGTCAATATCATCAAAAAGCATTGCAAATGCTTCACAACCAAATGTGGCAACCTTGTTCCAAAAAAAAAAAAAAAATTTTAAAATTAATCCTCATCACTGATTTAGACTATTTAGATATTTACCATATATTTATAAATTTATAAGTAATGAGTTGTTTGGTTTTTTTTAGATATGAATTTTTTAAATTTAATCCACCTGTTCCAGTTTCCGCTTCAAAGCCTGGATATCTTTTGTATTTGAAAATGATATGTCCAGACCAGGTGAAATGGCATATACAAATGTCACATCTTTATCTTTTGCAGAACTTATAAGATGAGAGAGATTTTCTGTAAAAATAGGAATTATATGATTTAAACTTAATAAATAGCATTCATTACCAATGATTCTTGAAATAAAAAATTGTAATAGATGCTAAAAATTGTTTTTTTCAACAAAATTAAAATGCTACTATTTAAACCACTTAAAATATGTTCTACCTGCTTCTTCTACCGAGTAAAGCTCTCTCCAATAAGCCCTATGTTTGTAGTCATCTTTGGGTGCATACATGTAAGTATTCAGGCCGGATTTTTGCATCCTAAACGTAAAAAAAAACATTCCACATCAATTCAGCCCATTTGGGTATTTAAAAGGTACATATTGCAAATTTTTACAATAAAAAAAAAACAACGTTTGTGTATTCTTCTACAACTATTAAATACATGAAGGCAAAGAGTGTGTTCATCATTCACATTGTTATTTTCCCATTAAAGTAAATCAACCCTATTATTAAAGAATAAAAACTTGTGTAGCACAGGAAACATTTTTTATTAATAAAACAGTACAATATTCATAAATTACAATTCCATTTAGTATACAGTATGAGATTAATATTATCTTTATTCTTTATAAACAAAAATCTTATTTAAAAACAATAATATTATAATTTAAAAGTTATACCAATAAAACTAGTTCATTGTACCCAGCTTTGTACCTTATACAGATTGATATTGACTACAGGAGTCATTAGAGGTAGTAAGATATTGCTTAGTTTTCACTCTATGGCCTACAAGTTAGCAATAGTTTGTGAATTTTTAACATTATAATACATAACAAACTAGCAAAGAAATAAAGTACAAATGAATATAAAAAAAAAAAAATGATTCACAATGTGGTAGATATCTGTACAAAACAGATAAACAAATTGTCTGGGCCTACACAAAATGCTACCAGGATAATCATTTTAGATGCTTAAGCTAATAATATTTTAATACGAAAAGTAAAGGTCATAATTAGGATTTAAGGCTTAGGAAGAAAAAAGTTTTTACACATTTTTTACTAAAAAAAGATAATAATTCTTCTCACCAGCTGAAAAGCAATTTTCTTTGATCTGCACTCCATGGCCGTCCATAGAACCCTAAAATTAATAATAAGAGTTTAACATAATTAGAAAACATAATATTACTGAAAAAGAAGAGGCAAATATAACCCTTACAGTACTGACCTGCTTTTTGTTATTATTGCCTCAGTAACGGCTATTATTTTGCTAATTATTCCCTGTGGCTCAGACATTATTTTGGAATGAGCCAAAATTGTATAGGTTTGCAAATTATTTTGTAACTTTTTTGTTTTAAATAATTAATAATAACATGTGAGAATTATCTGTTCAGAAATGGATAAGGGTGTTAAAAAATTAAAGTGTTTTTTTTCAAACTTTTCTTTGGCAATGGCTCACTGGGGGATTGCGTGTCAGTCGTCAACAATAGCGATATTGTAGAGCCATGGAAAAAAAAAATACAGATCCGCACAAAAAACTCAGTAATTGGTTGATTTTAAAATTTAAAAGGCAAATTAAAATTCAACTATTCCCCTAACGAGTAAACATTCTGCCCGAGACTATGGTGAAAGGTTATATCCTCGTTTCTATGTTGATATAAAATATCCCTCTATGTGGCAAATAGACGCGCTTGGGTAACAGGGAAAAAGTAGGTGACTGCAAAAAGATGTGCCTGGTACTGTAAGGGTTAAATGCTTTCAAAATTTAAAACTAAACACTAAGTCACCAAGACAAAATAACACTAAAACATTTTCCCCTTGATACTCACACTGATCATCTGATAAGCTATTAAGATTCTAGTGAATGAGTTAGAATGGGTCAGGAACACAAAATAAGGCAGGGAATAACTTCCACAGTATATTGGTCATGGATGTTCCCTAGGTCAACTTCCAGCTATAGTTCTCTATTTCTATTTTTAGCTCGGTACAAAATGGGGTTGGGGGTGTCTTCGTCTGACCACTTACCAAAAAGTTATGTTGAAATGTACCATGAAATGGAATGGCAACATTATTGAAATTAATGGAATATGAGTACTTATTGTTTCAACCTATCGAAAGACAGTACTTTAAGGGATGAGTGTGACTTTTTCACCAGTGGTCGTTTTGGGGAATCTGCTAATTGAGAGTCTTGCTGTAAATGCTATTTCTTTTCAACCTTTGAAAATTGAAAAATGAATGGAAAATTTCATTTAAATATATTTAAAATAAACTTTATTAACCGTTAGATTTAGTTTATGACCCAAATAATTTTCTGTGAAGAAGGAAAATTGTCATATACATCATTCTGTTGCAGGTCCAAATGTTGGTCTAGTCACCCTAAGTTGAGTGTTGGGATTCCCCAAACGTCACTGCGCTTAGGTCCAGACAACTCTTGGCAAAACCCATAACGATAGCTCAATCTTTATCGGCCTATAAATGATTAAAATACATAACTTTAATCAAATCATAAAATGGAAAAGCAAAACCAGTCCACTCATAGGATAAATGGCAAGGGTGCAGACTAAATGCTAATATATAATCGAAATTTACAGATTCTAGATGGGCTATGCTAAACAATGTATTAAAATTTTAAGTATGTGAGTAGGTCTAGATCTAGCTCTTTTCTACAAATCTTAATTCTTACATTTTAAATCTTAAACCTTAAGAACTAAGGCAAGCCCAGGCCTAAGTTTAGAGTAGAGGGAATTTATGCCTGACTTAGGGATACTGACTTAGCATTCAGATTAGGGTAAGAGTTGTCGATTTTAGGATTGAAGGTTTTTCTCAACAAGACTCATTAAATTTCATAGATTTTTTCCTAATTTTCATTTCTCTCAACATAGTAGCTAAAACAGCACTCTCAATTTCCCCTCCCAATTTTAGCCCATTTGTTTTTGTACTACCTTGCACGGTCGCCATTATATTCCTGGCATCATTGTAACCAAGGTGGCGGATGTGGGAAATGAGTGGTGAACCCATGCATAAATTTACTGGAATTTTTGGTAGTTGTACCGTTAGCGGCATGGGTTTAGCCAGGAGTTATCTAATCCTAAGTGTAGTGACATCACTTCGGGGAATCCCAACATAAGACTTAGGGTGACAGGACCAACATTTAGACCTGAACAATGACAATGATAACTTGTCTGTTCTTCACTGAGCATTATTATAGGCACTTTGATTAAAATTTCAAAACATTTTTAAAAATATAAAAACACTACAGCTGTATAGAGCCTGGAGAATAGATTACAAAAACACCAAGATCAACTTTCTAGCTCAAGTGGTTCAAAAGTTATGATTTTTTTAGTAGGGACCTCAAAGGCACTTTTTTACTATGGGATTTTCCTCCACATTTCGTGACCCTCAATTTGCTTTTTTTTGAATGCCTATAACTTTATTGTAAAATGAGACAAAAATATAATATTTACAGGGAACATAGTTAAATAAGAGTACTTCTAAATAGAACCACAAAATATAAGTTAGTTTTTGTTAATATTCCGCAAAAAAAATTTTTTTTAAATCTTGATTTTTTCCTTTTAAAATATGTATAAATATGCTGACTCTTCACTTATTTGAAATTAATTAATTAATTTTGTTTAAATATTTTTTTTTAAATTTCCCTAGAATCATAATAATAATAATATTCTTTAGATCTAAATTTCAAATTTTCTGTGGAATTGTTTAACATTTATAAGTATAAACTAATAATAAAGGGATTACTTGTTTCATTTAGTTAAAATTTACGATTACACTTTTTATTTTACCATTTTCTATAGATCTATATGTATTTTAGTCCCATATCATATGAATGTCTGAATATGACAAAAAAATAGTATGTCATTTTTTTACAAGTTAGTAATCTTGTTTCACAAATTAACATGCATTGATAGAATCAACTTTGGTGGTTTATACAAACTAAAATAAGTTCTAGTCATTTGCTTGTGGTAAGTATAAGTTTTTATGATTGTTCTTTAATATTATTAATAATATCTTAAGTAATTCTTGGACTATTGTGGCAGAAAGTGTGTTTTTTCTTTGAGAATACAAGGATTATGTAATAATTCTCTTGTGAAATATTGTGATATGTGATTAAATATAGGATATTTCAATATGAAAGGTAAGTGACTATTTTTTTAACATTTTTGCTTAATCTATTCATTAAGAATCATAATATTCATTAAAATATTATTACAAATAACAAATAATGTGTCACACAAATAATGAGTTGGGCAGGAGCTAGGCCTATACTTAAAATACTATACTGATACTTTTCTAGGCCTGTATATATATTAAACTTTTATATTTAATATATTAATTATAATAAAAATGGGGCTAATAATAATTCAGTTTAACCCAATACCCAAGTCAATACCCTTCAATTAAAAGCATCAAAACAAGTTAAAAATATATATTTATGTTGTTTAGATAGGTATCTGTGTTATTAAAATGTTTGTTTTTATTTTTGAATGAGTTATTTTGGAGTAATAAGCTGGATTTCCATTGTAAATCAAGTTATTTACTTTTTTTTTTATTATTAAAAATCGTTATCGATAATAGGTCATTTTGGGACACATGTGACAAAAATTTGGTAGGCATTTTTAGACCATTGAACTGGGTGCTAACCTCTTGAATCTTTGATATGGTGTAATTTATGCTATTATCTCCCGTCGTCTTTTTATTTAAGAAAGACACCCTTTCCAGAAAAAAAATATGAATGAGTAAAATAAACATTATTTTACCTTCAATTTTCAAAGTTAAGACCTCAAATATTTTTTAGAACAATAGTGTCTAATCATAAAACAACATGTCTACTCAAAGTTGTGGGCGGAAATAGAATGTTCTTGCTGGGCTATAATTAGCAAAAAAATCGTAAACAACGAGGGTCTCGGTAAATTAAAAAGTGGAGGTCGCCATTTTGATAACGAAATCACGATACCCGGTTTTCAGCGATTCCCATATCTCACTATAATCGGACGATTGATACAGTTAATATTATTAATATGGAATAGGCTAAGTTAAAATTAAATTTTCCATTCAGTTTTGTTATCTTTTTCTTGCAGTCTCCCCACTCCTTTGCTTTACGCCGGAAGTTTACCTGGGGAAACTCCATGACTTTTATACTCTGGAAGACATCGCTGGCCCTGCTGCTAACTATAGCAGAATTCTTTAATAAAGTACCTACTAGAGGCAGCCTAATTTTTATAAACAGTAAATAAATCGGCCTAAGGCCTAGGCCTAGGCTGTACAACAAACAGTTCACAATCAAACTTAGTGAAAAGCTGTCTAGACTCCAGCCAATTAGTATTTATTAATTTATTTATTTAAGGGTGTGTTTTTGTGGAAATCCGGGAGACCTATAAATCTTAATAATGTTAGTCAAAAGGACAATAACGGTAAAAAATATATTGGGCCAGGTTCACGGAACGGATTAAGTTCATAAACCAAAGTTTGGGCAATCTCGATAAAAATAGCTCCCCGGAAGTCGCCATTTTAATTTCTTATTTGTTTTGTCCACAGTCAGAGTCACAACACATTTTTCTCTGTTAACAACACAACTTCACATGCAAAATGTATCATCTACCCACCTTCCACAACACCTGAAATGAATTTTTTTCCATCTGCCTTCTGTGAAATATCTTTGCCTGTCATTTTACTTATTGCCCAGCTAGATGCAAGCCACATCAATTCAAACCCTATAACTGGATCCAAAATTAATGCTGCGATCTAAAGCACTTTACAGACACTTCAGTATTAGTAGTTCCTAATAATGAATGAGCGCATGCGCGTTAGTAGAGATGGATAAAGGAAAAGTTTAACTTCCGTGTTGCTAATTAAAGAAGTTATATTTTTAAAAAAACAAAAATTATAATTAAAATTATAATCAATAAAATAATTACCCAAAAAACAACTTCAAAGCACTTATTTTCTCAAATTTATATCACTTTAATTACAAGTCTGCATACTTTAGGTTTTTCATAGAATATGCCAAGCAGGAACCTGTTAAAAAGATGCGTAATATGTATTTTAATATGTGTCTATTATGGGGCCATCCATAAATGACGTCACGCATCTAGAGGGGGGGGGGTGTCAGATTTTTGTGACGATTTGGGGGGGGGGTAGCCCTGAAGCATTGTCATGTCACACGAAAAGCGGAATATTATCGTGTAATTATAGCAAGGAATTGTACTTAATAACCCTAAATTACAGACATTTTATTAGTATTCTTTTATACAACAATTATAATTATTTTATTTTTAAACTACTATCACTGAGAGAATCATTACAGGTATGTTGAAGGTCATGATGTAAATGTATCTAAGACTGCGACATGTACTTAGAATCGCCCATTGATATCAAATGAGAGCTTTATTTCTCAGAATTTAGATAATTTAGTTTCCTCCTGTCACTTACAAAAGTTACTGAACATTTCACTCGGCATTGAATAATCATGGTCAAAACGAAGTGTTCTGACCTATTAATAAGGTAACCTAATTGCTGACGCATCAACCTTGAACTTTTAATAAAGCACACATTTTGATTGGTTACATGTGTGGAAAATGTACGTGTCATCGTTTAACCTGTTTTGAAATTTGGTTAGGTCGTTCGCAAATTACGTCACGCCATAAATGACATTTTCAGACCCCTTCTCCCCTGGCACAAAGTGTCACAAATTCTTCTCGTGTCACACGTCACACCTATAAAAATTCAAAACATACAATAATTTTCATAACTAAGATTTTATTTTATTCTTTAACATTTTCTCATAATGGATTAAGATCATGGGCGCCCGCAGGTAGGGGCAAGGTGGGGCTCTTGCCCCCCCCCTTCCCCTGGATTGATTGGATAAAAAAATTTTAGACAAAAATAGACAAAAAATTTATTAAAGTAAAGAAAAAATAAAGAGAAAGTAACTAAGCTGATGTCCTGTCCGTTCGTTCACCATACAAATAAGATACAGTAAATTAAAACTACATTAAAACATTACTAAAAAAATTTTGCCCTTCCTCCATCACCCTA